CTATGCTACGCACTGGCAGCCGACGCAAATTATAAGAAATAAGAACAACCTGCGACATCAAGACACTGGCAGAACCAAATTAAAAGTGGAGGGAGAAGGGAAGGAATAGGGAAAGGAAATGAGAGAAACGAACTTTAACGATACGGAAGCCATTAATGTGCAGATTACCTAGGTAAAATGCGGAAAACTCTTGATTCCGCACGTTCACAGATCACCTTAGTTAATGTACACATTAACTGCTTTCGAGCTTTAGCGGTAACACTTTCGAGTTGAAATTAATTCTGCTTATATTTATGTAAAGTTATTTTGTTTAATAATTTCGTCTGTATTACTTTATTCTGTTCTTGTATGGGCAATTACTTATTACGATAAAATAGAAATTGTCTTTGCTTTATATCTTCGAATAATTTTTATGTTATACCATAAAATTCCAGCTTACATGTTACGTTTAGAATTTGGTGTGCCTAGAATATCGGTAATAATAATAATAACTTTTGGATTAGACATTTGAAATTAGATGATAAAAGTTGTGTTAAATTAGCGTATAATAAACTATATAAATTGTGTTCAACGATGAATAATTCTACGTATAATTGGTCTCTGGAGTTGAAAAATATGCTAAATCGACACGGTTTCTTTTTTCTATGGCTGTGTCAAGGTCCTCATTTGATCGAAAGCTATCAAACATTAATTATAAGAGTGTGTTGCGAACAGAGCATACAAAAAGATTGGTCTTTGTTGGAAAAGAACAAGCATTTTCAATTATATCGTATATTTAAAACTTTTATGTATGAGGATTATTTCTTTATGGACATAAATTATCATGTAAAACGTTCAATATTGCAAATGTGATGTGTTCAAAACAAGGCTGTGGAGTCGGAGTCAGAGTCAGGAGGAATTTCTGGCTAGAGGAGTCGGAGTCGGAGTCGGAAAAAAATGTGTCGACTCCGACTCCGGCATTTCTCTTTTTTTGTTTTCCATAGAAAAATTAAAATGTAAAAGTATCTGCGAAAAATTTCACCCCCAACGCAATTTTATAGTAAAAATATTAGAATAATATGAAATAATTTAAAATAAATATATCGTTAGAGATGTTTTATTTGTCATTTTATTGCATTAAAAACAAGTTGTAACGAGACACTGGGGTCTCCAAAATTTACAACTATTTGACCTTTAGCCAGCTGCTTGGTGAACTTTCGCGGGACGTCCTTACGTAAACATCGAAGGGAATCGGTTTGAGGGGAGGGTGTTCTAGTAAGGTGTGCAGTAGTTCCAGGAATAATCCCAATATGAACACGTGCTGTTTGGTCATTACTACTATTTCTCTGAGGGAGACCGACTTCCTTGTCCGATTCAGGATTAATTCAGGATTCGTACTTGCGTCCTTTTTGTCTAACCTGGGTTAACTCGGAAAAAAGTACTTAAAGGGTTTTTACTACGATTCTCAAGTTCAGATTATTTTACTTGTGACTTGTAAGTATGAATTATATTTATCTACATATTATTTTTAAGAGTTATATCTAATTTTATATACTTAAATATTGTTAGATACCTAATTACCCTTTCACAATTTCACAATGGAAAAGAAAGTATTTTCAAATTCAAAGTCTGCAGTTTTTGAATATTATAAACTTACTACGGATGGAAAATATTATCAGTGTAAATGCATTGTAGAAAATGATGATGGCAAACATGTATGTGAAGCAAAAATTAGCGCTTTTGCTAGTTCTGAAAAAAAAATGCACCTACAAGAGCAGGTAATCTAAAAAGACATTTGCAACGTCTACATCCTAAAATTCTACAAGAAGTAAATGAAAAAGATAACAGTAGAAACACTTCATCTATTTTAAAATTAGAAAATATCCAAAAATTAAGTTCAGTACAAACACAAGTATGCAAATTCTTTGCTTCGGATAAAGTTACAGTAACAATGACGGGTGCAAAATTTAAAAATCTGATAATTGAAATGGTGGTGCAAGATAGTGTGCCTTTAATCTTTTTTTCACGGCCAGCCTTTTTAGGCTTAAACGGTGAAATGGCGAGAAAACTTGGAGTTTCACTAGATAGAGAAAACATCAGAAGGCTTATAATTGAAGAGGCTGTTTTGAAAAAAGATGAACTCCGGAAAAAACTGAAGGATCGCTTGATATTTATTAAAATGGATGCATGCACTCGTCATCGAGTGAATTATTTTGCAATTAATGTTCGATTTATTGATGAGAATAATACAATTGTTACGAAGACATTAGCAGTAAAAGATACTATGGCTCATCACACAGGAGAGTATCTGCAGAAGTTGGTTCAAGAGGTATTAGAAGATTTTAAAATTAAAAAGGAGAATATTTTGTGTATTGTAACAGATAATGCTTCGAATATGTTAAAAATAACTGAGAAAATGAATCAAGATAATGAGATTCCATTAGAAGACATTCATGAAATATTCTCCATTGACACACAAATCGAGCCTATAATAGAAAAAGAGGAATATTTAGATGATATTGTGGAGGAAGCGTCCAATATGTTTCAAATCCAGCATATGCGATGTGCTGTTCACACGTTGCAATTAGCAATAAGAGATGGATTAAAAGACTCTCAGGTAGCTAAAATCATTACAAAATTAAGACAAGTAGCTACTGTAGCTAGAACCCCTAAAATAGATGCTATTCTGAGAAGGCGTGCTAGAAAAGGAATTATTTTAGATCAATCTACTCGCTGGGGAAGCACTTATTTAATGGTTAAGCGGTTGCTCGAATTGAAAACCTTCCTTGAAGACCTTGACAATCCAAGTGTTTTATTAACTGAAAACCAATGGAAACAAACAGAAAAATTAGAGAGTGTCTTGTCATACCCTTATACTGTCACCTTAAAGTTACAAGCTGAAGATTTGACACCTGGAAATTTTTTCTTACAGTGGAAAACATTGATGCATCAGCTCGACAAAACTGGAGGAATTGTTGCTAATGCGATTTTATCTTCAATGAGAAAAAGAGAGATTCAGTTGTTAGACAATAAAATCTTGTTAGCCGCTATTTACGTTGATCCAATGAATCGAATTTTACTAAATGACAATCAAATTGCCTCAGGGAAAGAAAAGCTTCGTGAAATTGCTATTCGCTTGAAAAAGTTGCCGTTACCTTACATTTATAAATCAAAAGATGAAAATAAAAATAATGAATGTAATGACAACTCGGAATCATCATCTCCAAAAAAAGAGCTTGATTTCGAAGCATATTTGGATAGTTTAGAACGTCTCAAAGTGAAGCGAAGACGTTTAACGAATCAAGAAACTAACCCGGCAGAAATTGAAAAAATAAAATTTGAACAAAATTTTTTAAATGGGCTAATTGAAATAGAAAAGTATGACCGTTTATCAAAATTGAACGTAGAAGAAGCTATTTCAATTTATCCAGAAATTATTCGCGATGCAGCTAGATCTGTCACAGCAATGCCCCCAACACAAGTCAGTGTGGAAAGATTATTTTCAGCTTTGAAAATAATTAAAGCTGATTTAAGGGCATCTATGAAAGAAGATTTAATTGAAGCTATTTTGTTTCTTAGAACCATTTTATAAAATTCAAAATTATAAATGTAATTTAGTTTTTTTTATTTAAGTGAAAATATAAAATAAATTTTCTTATTAATTTTTAAAAATGTTTTGTATTTTGTTATAATTCATTTATTTTAAATACAAAATGCAGCAATTTAATTTATTAAATATGTAGTTTTCATTGTAGTATTTGTGTTTAGTATCAATAGTTAAATTATTTTTACCCAATTAAACTTGAATATTTTTAAATCGTTCTTTTATTATTTCTGCTCTAAATAAATATTCTATTTTTCTGAATGAGCCAGACTAAGTGATCAAAGTATATATTTTTCTTTTCTGAACAAGGGGCTAAAATAACTAGATCGCACACTTTTTATTTGGACTAACTTTTCTGCAAAGGTAAAATTGAAGTGCATATGCTGTAGAATAAAAATATGTAAATGTAGAATTTTATTGCTCCCTTTCTCCTCTTATTAAATATTTGTTAGAAATAATTTTTTATACAAATAAATATTAATGTAAGTTAAATATTAAAAATGCTAACTATAAAAGTATTTGGGTAAATACCCGGGGCTCCTTTCACAGTTTAAAGAAGGGACCTCCCTATGAGCGTTTCTGCTCCCATATAATGACTTTGTATTTAATTTTGCCGGAGTCGGAGTCGGCGTACTAAAATTATCCGGAGTCGGGTGTTTTTTTACCGACTCCGCAGCCCTGGTTCAAAACTATATTTTGGCATATAATAGTAGTCTTTTAATAAATTCTGAGAGATTTTTGTAGTAATTGTAGTATGAAACTTGGGAACGTGTATAAAATTTTCATTGTATAAAATTTGAAGCAAGCAGGAAAAAGTATTTGATAAGATTTAAATCCTGGAAAAACATCGCGTTTTTCAAAAGATTATTATAGTGTATTTTATTTTGTAATATTTTGTACTAAGTTATTACATTAATTTATTATGTTGCACTAACTTCAGCTTTATGTAACCCCCTTGTAAGGTTCAAACAATAAAGAATTGATTGATAAATTTGGCTAATTTTTCCAGACTTATCGCACCTATTAGGTCAACTTATGAAAACGGAGTCATAGATCAGATCTAAAAAGTATACGCTTTTATTAACATTGGAAATACATTTAGGACTCTACAGTCCTCATCAGTCCAACCAGTTCGCGTAGATGACTATAAGCAGAAAATTCTGACATATATATATATATATATATATATATATAAAGATAATACAATGATGCTCTAAACGATTTGGAACGTTAATAAAAGCGCATATTTTTTGGATTTGATTTCTAACTCCGTTTCATCACTCGACCTACAAGATGTGATAAGTATGGAAAAATTAGCCAAATTTAGGCCACATCAAGATATATTAAACACAGATGAGAATCAAAATATTCAGGAGTTAATTTGCTGTTTAAAATGAAATTTTCTTTATTTCCTCAGCATTAATTCGTCTAAATGCACTCTTAACTGAGAAGAAATTTAAGCAAAATGGTAACATGCTTAATATATATGTAAAACAAATTGATGGTCCCTCTCAACTTCAAAAGATATTTAAGGAAACCAAAAAATTAAATATTAGAAACTATTTAATTGATATCCCTACTTCTGATGTTATTGAAGTATTGGACCAGGTAAACAATACAATTTCATTATAAAATTTTATTTTCTTATTGAAATATTATTATTTTGATAAATAATTTATTTTATAGGCAGAAAAAATGCAGATGATTGACATATATCATAATTACTTCTTCACTTCTCTGGTAAGTACAAATTTAAAACTCTGTAAATTTTTAGAAATCCCTTCCAATATATATATTTTCTTTGCCTGTAGGATGTGCACACGTTGAATTTTCAGAAGTTTAATAAATATTGCAATATTACTATGTTTCAAGTAGTAAATAACACACATTCCCAATACAAGACGATTCTGGATGAACTTAATAGAGATGTCGTTCATATTGGTATGAAAGAACAAACTGAACCGTATCTGAATACTGTAAGTAAATTCTTTATAATATCTTCATATGTTCGATAATAAAGTAAAATTTATAGTTTAATATGAAAGATGGATATAAACTTCCTAATGCCTTTAAACGAGTAGAACTCGAAAATGAATAATCTGAAGAATGAATATCTTATTTTGAAACACAGTTGAAAATCAATTGTTAGGATGCGATAAATAAGGTAAAGGCGCCAAATAGGGACACGCTAAGAAATTTTTGTAGGTGCTGTTATCTGTAATTAATTAACTGATAGAATCCAGTTAAACATGGTCCAGATGGCCGAGAAGATTAGGCGTTAGCCTACTGCTCAGGGGACCCAGATCAAATCCAGGCGTACAGACCCAAAAATTGTTCGTGGGCAGATTATCCTAGATAAGTTTGATCCCATTCCTCATCACACCTCCTCTTCCATTGTGGGCCTGGCCGAACCTTCTGCAGATTGGAGGGAAAAGGGCCCTCTTACTAGAAAGAGACCATAGAGCGGAAATAGTCAATATGTAATTTTAGCTTTTTTTTATTTTTAAGAATTTTCATTTTTTAATCTTTAACCAAGGTCATACCTAATTGCTTCATAATCTGTGGTAGTGGGGCATTAGTGACCTGTAATCAATTTTTCTAACATTGCTCTGAAACGGTTACTGATAAGAACGTACTTAAGGATACATTAATAAGACAAATCCTTGGTGCATCACGTCCAGAAATATGGAATAGTTATTTCATACTTCAAGTTTGATTATAAAAGATTTGTTAGGAATTACTTCATATTGTTCCACATTATGGGATAATAGCTACCTTATTTTAAAGCTGTATAGAAATTACACAATAAGTTATTTACCTTTAAAACTAAACATGACAACATGTCACCTATAAATGAAGAGCTCTTTTCCAAATGGCCGTAACTTACTTACGGTTTCCTTTGGAAACCGATAATATTTGGGAAAATTACATATTGATTAACGCATGATTTAGTTTATAAACAAACAATTAAAAATTGCTATTATTTTTTCAGACACAGTTTGCTCTTATGTATGACGCTGTCTATTATTTCATTACGGCTTTAACACAACTTGGTCCTTATTTTCGCCTAAATCCAACACGACAATCTTGTCAGTCTGAACAAAGTTGGGCACAGGGAAAAGTAATTGTTGATGCTATGAAATCGGTAAGTTATTTCAATTATACAATCATACCAAGAAATTGTAACACGATATATCGTTAAAGATATATATATAAATTCAGTGGCGCAATAAAGGGAGGAGTTCCCACTAAATAAATTTTAAAAAACTCAAATTTCAAAACAATAAGAAAAATAGTGCATGTTTACTTTTTTATAATGCTTAAATAACATTATAAAATTTAGTACTTGATTACTTCTTGTTTTCTCTTTTGTTCTTTGGAAAGAAGTACAGAATTGCTATGCAGAATTTATCATACAGGAACACTTTTTGATCATCAAAAAGTGTTCCTGTATGTAAGTTCCACATAGAAATTTTGTACTTAGTTCAAAGAACATTATAAAAACTTATTATTTTTAACATAAATTTTATAATTAAAAAAAAAAGGCAAAAATGTTTGCCCTCTGTTGTGCTGCTGTGTAAATTTACTTAGTTAACATTAGTGTGTGAAGTATTATCTGCCATTGTTAAAAAATTTTATTTTAAATATTTCTTTTTATATAATTAATTATTATAAAATGGCAAAAAGCTTTGAAAGTAGGGACGAGTTTCATTTAAAAAAATGTAAATGCTAATAACGATTCAGCAGTAGATATACTGTATTTTCTTTAGCTTCACATAAATAAACATGTTTTAAAATGAAGACATTCTTCGATAAAATTATTTTTTAGATCGTCAACGTGTGTTTTACATAATTCTTCAGCATTCTTTCTAATTGTTTTCATTTAAATTTTTTAAATTGACCAAAAAGCCAAATTTTGAGTAAATGTCATCATAGACACACTTTCTCTTTCATACTTCCGATAGAAATTTCTCAATAATAACAATATGTATTTATGCAGAATTCGTCGTACTGTTTTTTTTTTCTTTTGTACAGTACACCTAAAGCGAGAATGAAACTTGAGTTCTGCAGTTTTAAATGTCCGATATTCTGTTGCTTTAGGTTTTATTCAAACCTGAAATCCGCGAGTCTGCAGATTAACTAGACATACCTTGTTTAAATTAATATTTATTAATCAGTGGCGTAGCTACATATTCAGCGCACTGGAGCAAGTCCAATCAGTGCACCCCTTTGTTCTCTGGAAGAGGTTTCACGAAATTTTGTTTTGAACATTCAATTTAAAAACATTTCTCATTATTTCGATTTAAAACCTTACTTAATAACAGTTTATTTCAGATTCGAGGCATTTCAACAATAAGATATTCAATTTAATAAATCTTATAATATAATCGAGATGGATTGATGATGATGATAAGCGCAGAACCCAAACGGTTAGGAGTTGAAAGTTGAAATTTGGTACACAGTTATGGTACGCCGTGCCAATGCATTCTAAGAAAAGGTTTTTCGAAATTCCCCTGCGGAGGGAGGAAGAGGATTAAGGATGACCCTGAAGAACTTAGCTTCTACTGTACTATTTTAGATGTGGTATTTCGCGTTTTTGCAAGAAATCGAGCATGTTTTTAGACCCATTTAAAAATTCTCTAATTAGTCTGGGAAGAGGGGGACCTAATTCTTGCACCCAGTAAAAACGAGTAAGATCGCTCATAATCTAATAATCTTAATCTCTGCTAGCGTTACTTTTTGCCCGAGCAACGCCGGGCTCATCTGCTAGTACAATTATAAATATAATAAATAAGAAAACAAAATACAGTATAATTCTTTAAGTCCAGCATACCTAATAATATTTACTACATATTAAATAAACTGTATTGACAAAATGTATGCAAGTTTAATTTCATTACAAATACATAATAATACATTTAAAAAAAAAAACTTCAAAATTTTTTCTCGCTTTTTCGTTTGCAAATCGGTCAATCACTTTCTTCAGATCAAGTTGAGCTATTGTTTTTTCAGTTGATATAGTCGGGGATGGATCTAGGTTTTTCGGGACCTTGGGCTTATTGAAGTCCAAAATGGGGATCCATTTTTTGTTATTAAAATAATAATAATAATAACTCTCCCATGGTCACCACCTGGTCGTGGTGGGAGAGCCCAGTAATTTTACTGAACCATAGAGCAATGCAGACTGGAGCACAAGCTCCTGGTAGAGACACCCATGCTAGTAAGGTCTATGGGGAGAAATGAAGCTAAGAGTGACCACACACCCACACTCTGTGGAGATATTTATCATGGTAGTAACCAGATCTAAGTAGGATACCGGCTCGGACGTCGCCCGGGTTAACAAGGTCTGCGTTCGTGGGTTAGGCAGAGGCTCACGTTTGAAAAATAGGCCACAGTCTCCCTTGGTTACCGGTGGCAAAAGCAGCGCCAGCCCAAGCATGGCTACTGCAATGCCCTCAACAGATGTGAGGAATCAACCTAGCCTTGGTGTTTCTGTGGCAATGCATCAACACACCACAAAGGCTGGAAAACCACGCCAACAGGTGAAATGGACATCAGAAATGAACGAGTTTATCATCCGCACTTACTACACCATCACAAGACTCGAAACAAACATGACAGCATACAGACAACAACTACACCATAGATTCACACAACAATATCCTCACCTCACTGTCACCGAACAAAGGGTTGTTGATCAAAAACGAACAATTATACACAACAACCTTATCCCACAAACAACACTTGAACTTATCAAACAACAGGTTGCTGATCAAATACATCAACAGACAGAAACATTTAACATTAATGAAGATCACGTAACCTGTCAGGATAATCCAGCAACAAGCACTGATTACAGCACACACACAACAAGTACCACTAATGATACTGCAGGCACTTCCCCATCCATCACTGATAACATAGACATAGAATTAGTTAATACACTCTCACTTATATTTCAGGAAACACTCACTAAATATACAGGTACAGATCCCACACAAAGACCACGAATACCGAAAATCAACACGTCAAAGGTAGTAGGAAAAACACTAAATTATGTAAACACTCACTTACTACCAAACTACATTCATTCAATTTCTACACTCTCAGACATTCATACATTAGTTTATGCTGGGGCAGTCACAGTAGTAACACACCATGGACTGAAAATACACTCACAGACAGACACACACAAAACACAATTCTATCACAAGCCTGCCTGGCAGAGAAGAATAGAAACACAAATAAATGACATTAGACAGCAATTAGGCAGGCTGACACAATACACTAAAAACAACATAACACCCAAATTAAAGAAACAACTCAAAAACATTTTCAAGAAAATCAAAACACACACAAAACATGAACATCACAACACACACATTACAGAATACATCGATACACTAAAACAAAAACTCGCAGCCAAAGCACGTAGACTCAAACGATACAAAACATGTACACTACGAAAACAACAAAATAAATTATTCACAAACAATGAAAAACTTTTCTACAGACAAATCAGTACCAAAACAAACACTGATACACAGCACAGTGGCACACCAACAGAAGAAGAACTCACAACTTATTGGTCTTCTCTTTGGTCCAATGCTGTTACACACAATGCTGATGCAGGCTGGATCGAGGAGGAGAACAGAAACTTGCACAACATACCAACTATGCCCTGTGCTGAAATAAACATACACGACATTCGCTACGCTGTTAACAGAACACACAACTGGAAGACACCTGGTGTAGACAACATTCACAATTTCTGGTACAAAAAGTTTACATCACTGCACCAGGAACTAGCTAAACATCTAACACACATCATCATCAATCCACAAGACATGCCAAAATTTCTTACTCAGGGCATCACCTACATGAAACCTAAAAACAACAAAACCACAGACCCCACACAATACAGACCAATTACATGTCTTCCAACACTCTACAAATTATTGACATCCTGTATCACAAACAAAATATACAAACATGTTGAAGAACACGACATTCTTACAGAACAACAAAAAGGTTGCCGTAGAAATCACAGGGGATGCAAAGAACAGTTACTCATAGATTCAGTCATTCTACGGCAAGCACACAAACAACACAGAAACATACACATGGCATATATAGACTACAGAAAAGCATTCGACAGTGTTCCACACAGTTGGCTGCTACATATTCTACACATGTACAAAATACATCCATCACTCATTGCATTCTTCGAAAACACTATGCAGCACTGGAGAACAACACTACATCTCAGGGTTAGTAACACTTCCATACAAACAAACGAAATATTCATTAGGCGAGGAATTTTTCAAGGAGATTCCTTGAGTCCTCTCTGGTTCTGCCTAGCCCTGAATCCATTATCCAACATGTTAAACAACACGCATTATGGCTACAATATCAGACATGAAAAAACAACACAGTTTACACTCTCACATCTCATGTACATGGACGACATAAAACTTTATGCATCCACACAAAAACAACTTCATCAACTCCTACAAATCACACATTCATACACTAAGGACATACAAATGGAGTTTGGCCTAGACAAATGCAAAAAACTTCACATAGAAAAAGGAATCCTGAAGAAAGAAGATTTTGCACTTGGAAATGGAGACGTTATTGAATCCATGGAAGAGGGCGAGTTCTACAAGTACTTAGGATTCCAACAGGCCAAACTAACAGAACATACACAAATAAAGCAACGATTAATTAAAGAATACCAAAGTAGGTTAAACGCTATACTTAGAACACAGTTAAATGCAAAACACACAGTTAAAGCAATAAACACATATGTCATCCCAGTACTCACATACTCTTTTGGAGTTATACATTGGACTCACACAGATCTCGAGCAACTCCAAAGGAAAACAAGAACAACACTTACTAAGCATAAACAACATCATCCTAAATCCGCCACAGAAAGATTAACCCTTCCACGTAAAGAAGGCGGACGTGGCCTGATTGACATAGTTAACCTTCACTACAAACAAATACAGTCACTGCGAGAGTTTTTCTACAGGAAACAAGAAACATCACAATTACATAAAGCAGTAACTCTAGCAGACTCAAATAGCACACCATTAAACTTACACTCACATCACACAGACATGACACAACACATAAAAAGCATAGACACCATCAAGCAATCGTGGGCTCGAAAGGCACTCCATGGCAGGCATCCTTATGACCTGGCCCAGGATTTTGTTGACAAAACTGCGTCAAACAGCTGGTTAGATCGGGGATGCCTCTTTGGGGAGACGGAAGGATTCATGATTGCCATACAGGATCAGGTCATAAATACTAAAAACTACAGAAAACACATACTCAAAGATACAACACTCACAAATGACACATGCAGAAAATGTCACATCATGCCAGAAACTATACAACACATCACTTCTGGTTGCAAGCTCTTGGCACAGACAGATTACTTACATAGACACAATCAAGTAGCAAATATAATACACCAAGAGCTTGCAAAGAAACACAAATTGGCAGACATCCACGAACCATACTACAAGTATATTCCACAGACAGTATTGGAAAACAACACGCACAAAATGTACTACGACAGAGCCATAATCACAGATAAAACAATTTACCACAACAGACCAGACATCACACTCATTGACAAACACAATAAAATCACATACATTATAGACATAGCCATTCCAAACACTCACAATGTACAAAACACATGCACTGAAAAAATTAGCAAGTATACAGAACTCGCCCAGGAAATAAGGCATCTGTGGAGGATGGATAGGGTGCTTGTTGTACCTGTCGTTCTCTCCTGTACAGGTGTCATACCACACACACTACACAAAAGCCTGGGAACATTACAATTGAGTAGAAATACATACATCACACTACAGAAGGCCACTATATTGAATACATGCCACATTGTTAGGAAATTCCTGAATACAGAAACACACACTGATATACTTATTTAATTTTAGTTTTGTTTTTGGTTGCTATGCCTTGACTCTGGTCTGGCATAGTACACAGCCACCAGTGTAAACCGAGTATAACTCACAAAACCCAACATGATGATAATTTATAGTAATGATTTTTTACTATACGAGTATTAAAAATTTATGATGATAATTCAGTTTTTGTGGGCCCTTGACACTTGGGAGCCTAGGACTTAAGCCCTATTAGTCCCTATGTAGATCTGGCCCTGGATATACAGTGAGTAACCAGAGTTAAGATGGTGTTGTGACATGTTGCTTCTTAAATAACTTTTGATTAATTTTAGTTTTGAAAAACTTCATTCTGCTGTCGTTGTCGCCCGTAAAGTTTAAAAAAAAAAAAAGAATGAGGCATGCTGCAGTAATATCCAAGAACCTATTTGAGGCTGCTGTGTGAAATAAAAGTAGTTCAGCAACTTGGCTTATAGAAGTAATTTCTTTTACCTGGTATAAAAACACATTTTAAATAGAAGCAGTTGAGGTCCAAAACTAGACGAATGTCGAAGGGATATGCCGATTGTAACAGTTCAGAATATTTTTATCATATGAAGCGACAAGATATGCAGGCAATAAGCATTTGAAAACTGTACATAATTGTCCAACAAATTCACATCTAATAGTTAATTGATTAATTATTAAATCCAAACATTTTTTACAAATGTTTTTATTTTGCCCTTTCTAACTTGACGCCCTCGTGATTCATGTAATACATTAATAACAGAGGCGTAGCTACCGTGGAGCAGTTTGCTCCAACTGCTCCACGATAGCTACGCCTCTATTATTAGAGAGGTCACGGCCGAAGTTTTCATCTCTAAAACATGAACGTCGAGTGCCACTATCTTGTAAGCGACGTTTGATGTTCATGTTTTAGAGATGAAAACTTCGGCCGCAACCTCACTAATAATGTATTTATTGCTCGGCGTAATTTTCCCACATCTGGTTATCACCTAAATTTATAAAAGGATAAAACAATTTAATTGGAAATTTCTTATCTCAATTTATTCCAGTAAACGTTTATCAATAAACTTTTCCAGTATTTAACATCAAATATTTCATTTTCAGATTAATTACGATGGATTAACTGGAACTATAAAATTAGATAAAAATGGTTTTCGGACGGATTTTCATTTAATAGAAACTCGTGTTTACTATGGAAATTTAAAAATGGTATGTTATCCATTTATTTATATTAAATTTTAATATAAAATTATTCTCATTAAATTTACTGTTAACTGTTTGTGAGTTTTAATTTGTGTGGAATATTTCTAAAAGAAAAATATCTTTTTAATATACAAAAATTTGCTTTTTCTTAATTAAGACTATTATTATTTATAAAGATATATTACAAAGAAACCAATAATATAAGTTTCTATGCATTTCTATGCATATAAGTATTTGTTATTGCAATTAATTTTGGAAAAGTGATATAAACTGTTGCCTAAATAATAATTTTTAATACAGTATGTCTGTTTAATGTAAACACATAGGGCGAATGGAGCAGGCGCTAAGTCCTGGGGGGGTTGCCTCAGTGGTAAAGAAAATTAAAGGGTATAAATTAGGGGCAACTAAGGGGGGTGCCATAATAGTATCTCGCTCCATCCTAAAACTTGTCTCGGGCTGGCACTGTGTAAACATACATATATATACCATACATATATATATATAATATCATAAGCTTGGCAACTTTACTGAATAATTTGATTTATAAATTATATAGAATACTATATTACTAAGATCATTATGATATTTAGTTTAAGTGACTGTCAACAAGTCTGTAATAAATTACAGTATTATACATTTATAGAAATAGATCTTAGAATTACTTGGTAATTTTAATAGTAAAATTTACAGGATGGCAAATGGGATAAAATAAATAAATTTACACAAATTCAAACCAAAAAAGAAGATTTAGAAGAATCTAGCGAGATTATTTCTGGAATGGTACTTAGAGTTTCATCTATTGAGGTATGCCATTATTAAAAAGATCTTTAGTTTTGAAAGAATAAATTATTATTATATTAAAGATATTTACTTTTAATTGATTATGTAGAATAAACCATACTTCATGAAAAGTGAAAATTATACAGATGATAATCCACAATATACGGGTCATTCTATTGCTTTAGTGCAAAAACTGTCCGAAATAGCTAATTTTACTTTTAAATTCCATGAAGTAGGAGATAAACAATATGGAAAGTTAGCAGGCAGTGAATGGAATGGAATGATTGGAGAANCAGCATACAATAATTGCCTGTTTGTCCAAAATTGTTTCTATTGCTCTGAGTATATATGTAAAGGCCAAGCGCAGTTGGAACTTACAAATACCATGATCTAACATGTTCTAAAACTTTTTCTTTGATATCCTTAGTTTTGCTGGATGAAACAATGGGATTGAGTGAAAACCCTTGATCATGATATGATGAACCACATTACTTTTGATTTTATTTTTGTTCCTGGAGAATAAGGACAAAATATGTTTGAATATTTTTCTGAGTCACTCTTTGCTATTATTAGGGTAACATGTATGTTTTCTCCTGATGCTTTCATATTTCTTGTAGATAAATTAATAGACAAGGATTTTCAAACTGATGAAAAGTCCATAATGTCTCAAGAAATCAGTAAATCCATCATTGATGTCTGCTAAGATGAAACTATTAGAATACAGTTGAAGTTATTACAGTAATAAATAGAATGCCAGGCTGTAATTTTTAATCATCTTTTAATTTTGAAAAATTACATGACTTTCAGTCCACACTGGAAGTTCATACATCAGCATCTCTGGCCCCTAAGCTTTCCATATCTGATCTGCATTTGCATTTTAGTGGTGTCTTGCCCCTGTACATTATACATCTCCTGATAACAATCAGATTGAATCTTACCTGTTGCTGTACATGTCGGCTGGCATCCCATTAACAGAAAAATATCTAAATTTCTTCATTCGTTATTATTAAAATGTGCTTTTTCTCTTAAAACTTTGTAGACACAAAAGGCATTCCAAAATTTATAAAAGTTATTTTAATCTCAAAATCATCCTATTTTGCAAAATAACATTTGTTACACTATGATTGTAGAACTTTACTAAAATTCAAACTGGCATGTAATATCTGATTACAAGATATTTCTTAAGATGAAATATCATGAACATTCTGAAAATATTTAAATAATTAAAATTTTATAACTATATTCATGCTCATAATTTATGTTTATTTCAATATTTGTTTTGTGTACGTAAGAAGTATTCAAGAATAATGATAAAAGAATGTTTATAGATAAAATAATGTTTCCCATGCATAAGTAATAATAGATGCAATGTAGACAATCAAAGGGTCATTCCATGCCAACTCTGAAAACCTCAGCTCACTTCAATTTCTGAATGAAACGGTTGGGACCTTAGCAGAGCTGTAGAGCATACCCATAGAAACAAAAAAGTCAAAGGAACCACACCTCCACGTGTGCCCCTTTATGAGATATATCCTGCAAAATTAGTTTGTGAAATTTGCTTATGCTTTTTTTTTTTTTTATCTTCAAACTCTCCCATGGATATGTGTTTTATTCTAACTCCAAACTCTTCCAAAATTAGTCTGTGATCAACACCTTTCAACTGATACTTCTGGAGTGCAATAGGGAATCACGCTACTCTCTCTGCTAAGCCTATCCTGTGTTGGTTTGCAAGTTAATTATTCATGTGGATGTCATAATTATAGTTTGATTGAGAGTTTAAAAATAAAAATCAATCACTTAGTATATGATTATTTAAAAAACTGTATGTTAGTTAAATAAAATCTAGGAATATGAGATGCCATTAGCAAATTAAGTTCAGTCAATGTGATCACTATATTAAATCTTCAACAATAATAATTACAATAACAATTTAAAAATTAATTTAATTAAAATATTAATTAATAATTAGCTACATAAATAAAACTAATTATTGTTATATATTGATTTTTGTTTTATTTACATTTTACAGAAAGCTGATATGGTTGTAGCAGATCTAACTGTAACACAAGATAGACAAACTGCTGTAGATTTTACTGGTCCTTACATGACTTTAGGAATTGGCATTCTTTTCAAGAAACCAAGTAAAAAAGATGACAATTTATTTTCTTTCTTATCACCATTTTCTGTACAAGTATGGTTTTATATGGCTACTGCTATTCTTGGAGTAACTATTGTTATGTATGTTATGGGAAGATTTACACCATATGAATGGGAAAATCCTCATCCTTGTGATCAAAATCCTGAAGAATTAGAAAATCAGTTTACATTACAAGAAACAGCATGGTTAGTTGTCGGTGGTCTTTTGCAACAAGGTGGTGATATTAACCCACTGTAAGTAAATTTTTTCTTTCAATATTTTATTTAAGCTGTAGAATTGGACTTCTGTTGACAGAGTAGAGTTTTGTGTATCTGATGTAATGTGCAATAGCATAACCAGGGAAGGATGCAGAGGCCATTGATAGTTAACTCAATAATGATTGATATTGATAGTGATTACCTACCAAACTGAACTATAATCACAACTCATTACCTTTACTGCAAACTTTCAATCCCGTGAACATAGAATGACTCAGATTTTTCTTTGACAAAAGTCTTGAGCATTGTTCTCTCATAGTTATTGTTATTGAACTGTATTTTGGCAGTATGATTCCACAGTAAACAAAATAGATGGTAGTCAGTTGGTACCAAGTCTGGGCTGTAAGGTGGATGAGGCAGAACATCCCAGCTCAGACTAACAAACTTCTGTAAGGTCATCTTTAAAGGCTCTCTGTGATGTCACATTGTCATGGTGGTATCAGACTTTCTCAATTTTTGGAATTTATGGGAACACTCAAGTTGTTGTGCTAATTCTTTGGGGGTCAACCATGGATTATTGTCTATCAGTTGCAGAGATCATTGCCACTTGGATGGTGTTCATGGCAAATGCCTTGCAGTAGAGATAATGAGCCTTCATTGAATTGTGGCCAATGATAGAGCAACAGCATATGAATGTGTTCATTTGAAAATTTAATATTGTCAGACATTGCTGATGCATCTATTTCTAATGAAATATGTGATGAAATGCTCCCTGGTTACTCTACTTATATACCTACATTAAATATGTCTCCATTTTTTCTCCATTTGTCTAATGGAGTTTGCACTGCATTAGACAATCCAAGTGGTACAAATAAAATTTTGAATAATCAAATGAGGTGATAATCATTGTTTTTGGTACATTGTCTGGATGCATTTGTATCTGATTATATTATTTATGAATTAATATAACTCTTGAAAATATCATTTTACCACATTGAAAAAATCTTAAAGGTTAAAAGTGAGTATCTGTCCAAAACTGTAATAGTTTCAGCATACAATAATTGCCTGTTTGTCTGAAATTGTTTCTATTGCTCTGAGTATATATGTAAAGGCCAAGCGCAGTTGGAACTTACAAATACCATGATCTAACATGTTCTAAAACTTTTTCTTTGATATCCTTAGTTTTGCTGGATGAAACAATGGGATTGAGTGAAAACCCTTGATCATGATATGATGAACCACATTACTTTTGATTTTATTTTTGTTCCTGGAGAATAAGGACAAAATATGTTTGAATATTTTTCTGAGTCACTCTTTGCTATTATTAGGGTAACATGTATGTTTTCTCCTGATGCTTTCATATTTCTTGTAGATAAATTAATAGACAAGGATTTTCAAACTGATGAAAAGTCCATAATGTCTCAAGAAATCAGTAAATCCATCATTGATGTCTGCTAAGATGAAACTATTAGAATACAGTTGAAGTTATTACAGTAATAAATAGAATGCCAGGCTGTAATTTTTAATCATCTTTTAATTTTGAAAAATTACATGACTTTCAGTCCACACTGGAAGTTCATACATCAGCATCTCTGGCCCCTAAGCTTTCCATATCTGATCTGCATTTGCATTTTAGTGGTGTCTTGCCCCTGTACATTATACATCTCCTGATAACAATCAGATCATGCCAGTCAGCTACCTATAATAACTCCATACTCAAGAAAATTTTGAATTGAAATAATATGACTTTTGATCTAGATTGGAAGTTCATATATAGTTAATTGGGGCTTCCAGCCTCTAAGCTTTCCATATCTGATCTCGATTTTCATCCATCTAATTTCATTCTTAAGATTAATGATGGAAACAGATAGACAGATGACAGTGGGACTATAGACATACCTTGGTTAGTGACCTCAATATAATGAAGTCCACAGTTTCAAACCCCATTTACTGTAACAATATTAAAATCACAATTTCAGTGACATACTCCAAGTTTTAGATATGCCTGTTTTAACAGTTTCATGCATCATCAGAGTAATTTAGTCATTGCTTACACTTTATAAGATGTATTTCAATGTGGTGTACTGCAATAAATGAGGTATGAAGAAAAGAATAAGTTATACTATTAGGAATTAATAAAAAGAACATTCAGCAAGAATAAAAGATCATAACAACAGATAAAAGTTACTTTGCCATCACCAAGCTGAACAGCAATAACTACCAGATATGGAAATACAGGATGGTACTACTAAAACTATAATAATATAAACGATTTTTGATTTAAGACCAAACGATCCTCTGTATTACACTCAGCTATAATATGGCTTCTATTTAATTACTGAATATTTAAATTATTTTGACTAAAGGTAGGCATTAGGTAACATCTTTTGATAAATTTAATAATTATAAATAAAATAATATTTAATTTAGAAAATTCTGGAAGAAAAAAAATCAATCCTGACTGGACTCAAACCTGTAACTTCTGCATACTGTGCAGATGCATTGCCAGTTACCTCTGTCCAATCTTTGCCTCCAGACTATCAGTAATTTAGATATATTATAGCCTGATATGATCCAGCATATCATTTGGCCTTACTTAAACTATCCAAAAGTTTATATGGGATATTGGTTATGAAGGTATTTCCTCCTGTATAGATTCATCTTGGTTAATAAAGGATGAAGGCCTTTGCCATAATAGGCCTTCAGATGGAAGATAGTCAACTGCCATTAATAAGAAAGGGAACTACAATCAAAGGCCAAATGTAAGGAAAATTTTCGGAGAAGAATGACGAAATAATGAGAAGGAATATAGATTGCTGGTCTAAGATTCATCCAAGATAACTTCAATAAGATTCAAAGCTTTCAATATGTTCTGTTACAATATGTACAGGCATACAGCACAAATTCAGAGTAAACATTAATGATATAGACCAAATATTAGTCTAATACACTTAAAAATTTTCTACATTTTTTTTTTTTAAGAGTAATATGGGACATATAGAAAATGTTTGCTTATTTGTCAAGCAAAAACTTTTAGCAAAATATAAGATCACAATAATCATTGTCAACAATAATAATCATTAAAATATAGCATATAACTATTTTTAAAAAATGTTGACTCGAGATTGTTATATGTTCAGGGCAACATCTACAAGGATGGCTATTGGCTATTGGTGGTTCTTTACTTTAATCATGGTATCATCTTATACTGCAAATTTGGCAGCTTTCCTTACTGCAGGAAGAATGGAAGCTGCAATCAAAAGTGCAGAAGATCTTGTAAATCAGCAAAAAATACAATATGGCTGTGTTGCGGGTGGTTCAACGGAAAAATTTTTTAAAGTAAGTGATTTAAACTATTCATTTTAAAATGATGGATCTTTAATGTGCTCATTAATTTTATCAGTTAATTTTCAGAAATTCAAAGAATAAATGTAGAGTATATTTAATTCATCTTTAAAACAATTTTTCAGGGCTGTGGAGTCGCGTAAAAATCTACCGACTCCAACTCCGACTTTTCCTTACCAATCCGACTCTGGCTAAAACACCAAAACTCCATGACTCTGACTCCACAGTCCTGCCGGGGCTGTGGAGTGGCGTAAAAATCTACCGACTCCGACTCCGGCTAAAACACCAAAACTCCATGACTCCGACTCCACAGCCCTGCAATTTTTACATTTTCACAAAAAAATCGGTGATAAAAAATAAAATTGCTCCTTTGACTTAATGCATACTAATCCCAAATATAATAATTTTGAGTCTCTTAATACAGGAATATATGCAAATGAATATAAAAGTATTCATTCCTATGTATGTTTGATATAAACTAATAAAATTTTTAATATTGTATAAAATGTTAAGACAAATAATTTATATAATTTATATATTTTAATAGAAAATACAAATAAATTACAAAAGAACGTTTAATATCTTATTTTAGAGTTCTGATCATCCCTTATATAGTAGAATGTGGACAACGATGGAATCTGCAGAACCAAAAGTTTTTGTAAAAAATAATGATAAAGGAAAAGAAAGAGTAAAAATGGGAAATTATGCATTTTTCATGGAATCCACAACAATTGATTATGCAACAGTTAGTGACTGTGATTTTATGCAAATTGGTGATACATTAGATGAGAAAAATTATGCTATTGCTACACCAAAAGGTAAATTTTAAAATAGTTTTTATATATTACAGTTTATAAAATAGTGTACTATTACTATCTTAATAAATTATACTATAGCTAAATCACTTTACTAAAATTTGTTTATAATGTATCTTGATTAAAAATTTTAAGAAAAATCTCAACTTCTCACAAATTTACAAAAAAGTTTACTATACAGTTGTCCCTTGATAATCCGACAAGTATGGGACCAAAGGTGTGTCAGATTACCAAAAGTGTCCGGATTACCGAAAATAATTACATATTTCGCATTGTTTTGCTAGCAGTAACTTACAATATTCTCTACTCCAACTGTTCGAACAGAACTGTTCACATAAAACACACGAAATGTGTGTCATCGAGTAAGAATTGGATGGGGAGATTCACATCGCGACATGCTTCTGTGCAAGCAGACACGTAACGGGGACAGGTACCTTGACGGGAGGTGTGTCGGACTACTGAGCATGTCGGATTAAAAAACGTCGGACTATAGAGGGACAACTGTATTTACACATCAAGAATATATGAACTTCTGTTGCCAGAGAAATACTTGATCCTGAAACCAAAACAAAGTTTGTGTTGTCTATATTCAAAGTTTGAGTAGAATACTTCAAATATTTTTATTTGATTTTTTTTTAATAGTATATTCATCAAGAATACAACCATTTTTGAAAAAATTTGTCATGAATATTAAATAACATATACTATATTGGTATTTAAATTACATTTATTTTCTAATTTATTTTCATAAAATTTTTTTAAAAAATTAAAAAAATGATTCCGTATTTCTGAATTAGGATAAGCCAATTTAGAATTAATTAGAAGATCACAACCCATTTTAGAGGGATCTCATACAACTTGCAATAGAAAGTGTACTCTTATAAGCATATACAGGAGGGATCATAATTAAAGAGTTGGTGTTCAGAGCTCTTTTTTCCAATAGTTCTTTTTGCAATCTCAACTAAACATATTGTCCTGCATATCTGATTTTGATTTTTGGAAAATACTTCAAAATTCAGTGATGCCATCCCCTTAGTTTGCCTATTATGTATATTTTATAATGAATTTTGGACTCAAAAGGAGTCTCAAAACTTCTCCACAATTCTTCAACAAGTGAACAGTCGTGGTGCTTACTTTGCCCAATTGTGCATTACTTGTTAAACTCGCCTATCAACAAAACAGCATTGCTGACTGTGCTTGAGGGATTTTGATACTCAGAGCACTTATTCATAAACCTTTTGACTATTGTGAATCTTAAGGAACTAATTTTGCATTTTCAGGAGACTGGAATTTTGCTGTGAAACCAGGACAGGATTTCAAACCAATTGGACATTGCTACTTCAGTAATGGATTATGGAATAGAAAATTCTTATGACAACAGTAGTGCATATGAAATATCATGGCAATTTGACATGCCCTACATAAATGTGGAAAGTTCTGCAAAATACTTGCATTTTTATCCATATAAGATGTTCATACACAGTCAAAAATTGGTTTCTGGTTATGAGTGGAAAACATTTTCCATGATGGTTGATGATGCATGGCTCTAGTAAATTATTAGAGCAATGATATTTGTTAAAATTTGCATGATAAATCCTCAACTGTTGTATTTGGTCTTGCAAAAATCCACGTGTTTACCAACAAATTCCATTGAACTCAGCAAAGGTAATATCCATCCCAGGATATTAAGCATTAATTAAAGAAATTAAATTAGAAAGGTATGTGGTAAGTCTGATCATTATAACAACAAGGTCAGCAGGCTCATATGGTTATTTACTACTGTGGCATTTAATAGATTAACAGACTAAAAGCTTATATCAAATCTTTCAGCTGAGTTATTTACTTTTACTTTTCACATGATTCACCAAATATTTACTTCAGAAATGAAATGTTTTTATACATTTGAAAAAATATCCCTAGAATTCATGTCATGGCATGAACTAAGTTTCTGATTTACAGGTTTTTTTTATATTTAACATTTTTTTGAGAAGTAACAGATTTTTCTACTTCAAAAAATGCCTCAACATTCAAGTCCTCAAATGACTGTGGTATGTCTTCTTTTTTTACAAATTCTATGAACTAAAAGAAAAACTAGGTCATTTAGCTGAAAGTAGAGATTATGGATCAAACGTCTCTCTTTTTGAAAGTTTGTTAAGAAAGGCTGAAATCACTTGGCACTCAAAATAACAAATACAATCAGCACCTTACAGGACTATTGTGAATCTTATTCATCCTGTAAGTACTTGACAGTTTTAGGTCTATATTTGGGAACAAATTTCAGAAAGTACTCTTCAACAGCAGCATACTGTTTGAGAAGCCTTTCCCAAGCTCAGAGTAAAGTCAACCATCTATAGCTGAACTTTCATTTTCTTCTATACATTCTTATATTCTCCTTCCTTCAAAGACCAACCATGAAAAAACTCATGGATAGAGAAACAATCTGACACATCTTCCCCAAATTCTTAGTCTCTTGACAAATATATTGTGAACAACACGGAGATTGCATGTGCCAAGAAGAGTGATTACATTGTAATCTTATTTTTTCACTTATTAAATAGTAAACTGCATTGTTTACATTGGTCCATCAGATCCCAACATAAGAATTTGGTTCAAAAGATCTGCATTTGACGTTGCTTTATTCAATTTTGTCAAAACCTTATTAGCTATAGCACTTCCCATAAATAAACCTCTCCAAATGATGAACAGCTGTTCATAGTGTTACCACCCATCTGGTTTTCACCCGGACAGTCCGGGAATTGACTCACTGTCTGGGTGAACTATTAATTTTGTCCGGGAATTTTGTAGAAATTGTGAAATTACGATGAAACAAAGTTCTTGCAAATATTTTTACAAATTTACACTATTTTAACAGCGAAAGAACTCGTACTCACTAAACTCATCTGCAATTTTGCCATGTTAGAATGTTTATGCTGCAACCTGTTGACCCCCCCCTTTTTTTTTGCATGTATGATCATACAATTGTACACGTCTCTCCAATATCCAATAGAGCTAAGTCATCTGTACCTGTTCTTTCTTAATTTAGGTTACTCCTACACAAGTCCATAGTCCCTAACTGTAACTGATTTAGAACCGCCATGCACGTTATTCCTTGCATTGTAAAATGACATTGCGCATGTGTCAGGAACATCTGTTCGAACAATTGATTTGAAAATAAGATTTAATGGTCCAAAAAATTTTTAGTCAAAGGCTTTTCTGGATCCCTTGATATTAATTTCTAGTAATTTATTTACTTTGTTAATTGAAATGGAGTTGTGTTTGAAAAGAAGCAAAACAGACCATACAGGAAAGTCCTCAGAATAGATCTAGAGAGTTATGGATCTAAGTGGTCATCAATTTGCAGTGAATGGCACCAGGTAATGAACTTTACATACCCTTACATCAATGAATACAAGTAAGTCACCGTAAGTTGCTTATTTCTTAGTAATGTGCAAAAATAGTCCATTGATTTTTTGGTAAAATTTCTCCAAAACAAAAACTTTTGTCAAAAAATGGCTTTTAGTGACCATATAGTAATTTTCTTCAAAATCAATGACTTTAGTGACTAATCACCATGCCTGCATATGCAATATACACATTAAGAGGACAGCAGTGCTAAGTTTTACCATAGTGAGTGAATTTTGACATAAAATTTATTTTTCCAAAAGTAGAAACCACATCCAACCATCAGCCAAATTAATCAGGTAGAAATTATCCTACAAATATTGGTGCCTAACATCTACCTGCAGTTGTTCTAATCATCTCTTAACGAAAGTAGTAACTATAATTTAGTTTTCTTCAGATTATTCTAAATTTCAAAAGAATCTGCCCAGAGTGGAAGTTGAACCCGCAACCTCTAATTGCCATGTTGTGTGCTAATCAGTTACGCACCCAGATTGATTCCTCCCTTCTAGACACGTTTAAAGTTTAGTAACTTTAAATGTGTCTGGAAGGCAAGATCAATATGCCATTAAGCCAACATCATAGTGTGTACTTAGGCAAATCTTTATTGTATTATGTCTACTACTCATATAGTTATACGTAACACAATGATTAAATATATTATATATATATTGTGATGATCATGCAAAAGTACATATATGGACAAAAAACAAGCACAAAAATATGTAACAACGATATTTTTATTTTTGCATATGATGAACAAGATTCTTTCGGATTCCAACTCCTCAGTCACAAAAAGTATAATACAGCTTATGCTAATGATAAAAAAATGGGAGTGACAATTGGTATGCAGTTCATGACATATATATATATGTACAGATAATACTAAAATAAAATTTATAACTAAGACTTACCTTTTTTCTTTCCTAGTTTTAAGATAGTATGTGACAGTTATAGCAAAAAAATATGTAAAAATAGGGATTAGCAAAAATTTGGGTACCTGGGATTCATAGTAATTCATGACTTGGGTGGGATGCCAATTTTAGTTTCCTTGGGAAAAATGGTTTCTCCAATTCTTTCTAGACTGCATATTGTAATATCAAAACACTTACTAAAACACCTTTTCTTGCAGCCGACGTAAGACCGAAAACGTTTGAAAGTTATTATAATAAAGTGTCGGCTGCAAGAAAAGGTGCTTTAGTAAGTGGTTTGATAATGGTTTCTCCTTGTCAATCTTACTTTGGTGTCTTGTATGGGCTTCTACCTCTATCATGATAGATGTAACCATGATAGATTTACTTTTTGGTTTTTCAGATCCTCTCCTCGTGAAAGGTCACGCTCCAGATTGCCAATCTGCAACCTGGAGCATGACCTTTCGTGTCATTCCCTGTTGACCAAGCCAAGAATGACCATTTCTCCACTCCTTAGCCCTTAGGGCCTCAGACCTCGCTCTAGATGCTCGTGTTCTCGCCTCTGTGCTCGACTTGTACAATCACGCCATATCTCATGTACATACAAAAAACTTAAATTTATTATGTAGCCTTGTTTGTGTATTGTAATTAATTAAGCACGAAGCAGTGCTACACTAATCAATATCTGACAGTGTGTGTAGTCTGCTATTAAACAGCACATATGAAAAGGTTCCATAAGATTACAATAAAGCTGAAAATTTGTAGTTATTTGCACCTGTAGTATTAAGTTGAAAAAGAAGTTTTGAAGTTTATAGCTCATATAACATATTTTTATATATATGTATTATCTTTACTAACTTACTGAAAATTGAGGATTCATTATAACTTAAAAAAATGAAATAAATTATATTTCTCCATTATTCTATTCAAAAATAGCAATTATATATGTTACCGGCCAAACTAGTTTATCCTACGCGTGTCAGGATATACTAGTTTGGCCTAAATACTTTAGGCTTAACTAGTTTGTCCTAGGCCAAACTGATTTAGAATTATTATTTAAGTGAGGCCTGGCCAACCCAAATTGTTTTGCAGGACACTTTGATCACATGTAACATTACAATGGGCCACAATTTAGGCAAACATACTTTTAAAAAAGTAAAACAAATACAAAATGAATAAGATTTTATTGTTATACCAAGAGTTCGTACTCACACTTGCAAATTTTCATTTATTTAATTGTTTTGGTATACACAAAACAAAAGTTTTAATAGATATATATAATATCACTTAGTGGGTCACACGATTTAATGTGACGGGCCACAGGTTGGCCAGGCCTGATTTATTTTAACCATTAATATACTTAAAATTAAAAGGCAATCAATTAGATGAACAATATTTATTCAAACAGTCTACTTAATTATAAAAAATGATGCTGATTAAAAGTGACACAACACTTGTAGAAAACTATAAAATAAAAGTAAGCTAATCAGTACTTATCAGTTTGTATTTTTTTTTTTTTTATTAAACCATGCACTCATAAAGGTAATTAACTTTCGAAAATATTTTCAAAAATTCAAACAAAATAATAAAAATAACTTTTAAAGTTAAACTAAAATTAAAAATGAACTTGTTTGTGTTTCTTAGTGTAACATATAAAATATTTAATCTTTTATTTATTTTTACAGGGTAGGTTAAAGTGTACCTAGGTAACCCCAATGGCGGCACTTCGGACTGTTCGTGCTCCCGGCGGACTCTTCCTGGAGGGGAGCCACCAGCAGGCTGTCCATTGTTTAACGTCACTAGTTATTGATTCACGTAGTTCTTGAACAAAAGAAAAAAAAAGGAAATGTCTACTAAAAATGTAGTTAACCTAACCAAACCAAACCAACCAAAGCACCACCATTGGGGTTACCTAGGTACACTTTAACCACTGGGTGTACTGTGGTGGCATTTCGAATTACACAAAATCATTTTTTTTTACACTGGTGCCTATTTGTAGTACATAACTAGTTTGATCTAGGCCGAACTGATTTAAGCCTAAAGTATTTAGGCCAAACTAGATTATCCTAGACTAAACTAGTATATCCTGACATGTGTAGGATAAACTAGTTTGGCCGGTAACATATACAAGTATATAGTGACAGAGAATTGTATCAGATGACCTTTGTATAGAATTTTCAGTTCTTGGTTCTAGTAAACTGTACTGTTTGTTTTCCTTTGAATTTAGTTAAATATATTAAAGAAACAACATTTAAAACAGTGGTTCTCAAAGTATGGTCTGCAAACATGTCCTAGGTGGTGTGTATAGACTGACCTTGTCATTTTTCCAAAATGTAATTTCATGCTGTTTAACCAGAGGAAAGAACATTTTCATGCATATTTCTTATCATAGGTTAACAAATAGGCAAAATATTATGGCACACATCTAAGGTGATTATATTTTAAACCAGTGGTTCTCAGTTATTTGATCAGCAGACCATCTACATCTTCAACCACTTTTTATCTTTTAATGTAATTCAAGATTTTATATTTATTGATTAAATTTTACCAATATTTAACTTTCTGTTTATTATCAATTTTATATTTATATACATGTTTTTTTTTAGGTTCTCCTATCAGAGAGAGTCTATCTCATTCTCTCCTAAAACTTCAAGAATTAGGAATTTTAAGAATTTTAAAAGATGAATGGTGGAAAAGTGATGTAGTATGCCCAAAAGAAGAACCACCATCAGATACACTTGGTTTAGAAAACATTGGTGGTGTATTTTTAATTTTAACCATTGGTTTACCACTTGCCCTCATTGCTGTATTAGTTGAATTCTATTTGGAGAAAAGAAAGCTACCACGTGAAGAAAGAGTAATTATTACTGTATTTGTATGCATGTTACCATATATAAGCAGTCCTTGACTTTTTGACACACTGTATATAATATCGTTTATATGTCCACCATCATAAATCACTTTCATATATTTTTAGCTGACAAACAATCAATTTTAAGCTATTGCATGGTTGGCGCACTGTGCAGTTTTGGTTTTGATAACGTCATCATCCGTGAATGTTCATTTTTATTATTTGTTTTATGCATTGAAACATATTCACTGTAAAAAACTAATATATAATACTAACTTAAAAGAATTTCTATAAAATTTCTTATTTAGTCCTCTGAAAATGAAAAAAATTATTTCCAGCATGCAATGCTATTTGACATTCCTATAAATTTTTTTTAAAAATGTATTACATATGAAAGCTAAGGACTGCTTCTATATATAATTTTTTGTCATTACAAAATTTTTCTTGGAATTAATATTGAGTTTAAAATAGATATTTTTATTCAATTTAATTAAAAATAACTTTAGTAATAATCAAAACTATTAGTTTGTATTAGATATAGCCAATTATTAATAATTAATTTGTATCTAATTATAATTTACATTACTCTACATTAGGAGTGGCAACCCTTCGCATGACTTTTTTCCAGCACAAAACTCGGCTTGTCTTAAACATCCAACATCTTTGCCAAGTTATTATTTCTAAAACAGTTGATAAAGTTAAAATACATAAAAAATAAGTACAGTAATTAGAAAATGAAACAAACATCCTTTTTTCCAAGACATCTATCTCTGTATTAAACTGATTTACAAAGTTGCCAATTTAATGGAAAATCTGCTAAATCTAGCTTTTCCATAACATTATCTAGCCAGTAGATGAAATAATAATATGCTTCCAAAAATTTCAATTGGCATGTGAGAAAATTTTGCTTCAGAATTTCATAATTTTGACATGCACACTTTATGTAGACCAGGAATGGGCATCCTTTTATCATATTTCAGACTTAGTTTATTAATCATTAACTTATATAGAGGGTTCTAAACTAATAAAAATTTCATTAAGTTAGAGGGATATTTTTAATTTGCACTATTTTCAGGATGTAAAACTGAAGATATTGTAATCACCAGACTAAAAAAATTTTCTTCTTGTTTTATGTACAATTGTTGAATGATCTTTTCTCCATAAGATATATACATAAAGACGAGGATTTATATATAAATAGGGCATCAATACCTGCATGACGGTACTTCCACCCACGGAGTATCACTAATTATAGTCAATATTTGTAATAGATTTTATATAATTTGAAAGAATTAATAATGTTCACACTAATATCAGTTATACCTGAGACATTGCCAATGAAATTGGATTAAGGTTCAACCTACTGAAATGTCTTTCTGGTTAATCTTTACCATCACCTATCAATGTAACTATCTTCTGGCATTTTTTGCTTCATCTCCCTTCTTTCATTCTGTGATCAAAAAGTATTGGGAATGGTTCAATAAAACATAAGACTTCAATTTATTCATCAAAATTTGTTTTGTCCCCTCCCACTGCAATGCACTTATGACAACATTTTTTACAATCCATGAAACATACACTGATGTGCAAAACTTAAGCAGAGAGCTATGAAATTGTAGAAAAGGACTTGTTGCGATCAGTACAATAAACACCCAACTCAGTAAAAAGATGATTTGTATTCAGGAAGAAGATATCACAGGTGAAGTGAGGGCATGTAGAACGTGTGCATTAAGCACACACAGTGCAAGATAACAATGAGGCTTTAATTTCATACTGTATGTGTTCTATTCATATTTGCACTAGTATGCTTTCATTTTCCTTTAAGTACAAAATACTGTCTCTGTATTTTGAATTTCATGTCTCCCAGGTGATTTCTTGCAAAAAACAATTGTTGCTTATATTTTGCACACCAGTGTTTAAAGTCATTTTCATAAACCCCTTCAGGACTTGCAGCAAATTTTGTTTTATGGCATCAGTCAACTGAAAACAGTGACCACAAAATGGAAACAGAAAAAGTCACATGGTTCCATAAGAGGTGAATACAGAGCTTGTAAAACCATATCTGTTGGCCAAAATTTCACAAACACAATTTTTGCATCACTGTAATGGACCTGTTTACAATGCTCTTGTTGCATTGTAAGCAGGTACATTACAATGGTGCAAAATTCATATGTTTTCTTGCAAAAATCAGGTTGTTTTCTATGAATTGCTTCACACAAACAACATAAAATGCTCAAATAATCGTCTTCGTTGACAGTTTGGCCACTCAGAAGAAATTCATGATGCACAATACCATAACAATCAAAGAAAACAATCAACACAATTTTGATTTTGACTGACTTTGATGTGGTCTTTTTAGTCTTGTGAGTGCCATTCACTTGATTGTTGAGCTGTTTTGGTGTTAAAAGCATATATCCATGTTTCATTATCTGTAATGATATGTTTTAAGAATTGAATTTCTTCCAAAAACAATGTATTCAAGTAAGCACTTGAATACATTGTTTTTGGAAGAAATTCAATGTTTTCAGAATGACTTGAGAAGCAACATACCACAAGCCCAAATGATCTTTTTAAAATTGCTCAACAAGATCCAAATGATACTGACACACATTCAATAATGGCCCTAATTGTTAAGCAGTGATCATTTAGCAGTAAATCTCTGACTTGAGCAATGTGTTGTTCATCAGTTGAAGTGAATGGTCTACCAGAGTGTGGTTCATCTTTGACAATCTCTGCCTTCCTTGAACATCTTCTACCACTCAAACTCTTGTTTTTGATACACTATTGTCACCAAAAGCTTTTTGCAACATTTCTGTAGCAATAATTCCATTGCAAAAACAAAACTGAATGCACATTCTTCACTCAATTACACACAATATTTTGAAAAATCACTGATGCAAAAATTCTTTACACACAAAATAAGCATTTATTTGCAAATGAAAACAAAAGAAAAACTCACATGGTGTAATAACATCTATCACAGTAACAGTGAGTTTGACTACTATTTGCAGTAGTGCACTCTCAACACAATTTGATATTGAATTGAAAAGTTGTTTAATGTTTTAAGAAATGCTTTTTCAGATCTAGTCCAGTTGCACAACAAATTCCTTGATGAGTGAAATAGAGCTAGAATTATTGTAATTTCTTATCATATCCCATATATATTTATTCAATAGGATTGGCTGGTCAGGCTTGTTTCAATTTCTTCAAGAGAATTCCATGATATGGTTATAAACTGTGGGTGGATATTGTCTTAATGAAAAAATATAATTTTTTCACTGAGTTTACTACACAATCCGCTTACTATGCATATCAGTGGGCATTCATTGTGTCATCAAGAAAATTGGCATACAACAATACAGACAATTGCTTAAAAAAAATTCAAAATTTGAATTATTTTCTGTGTAAACATTTCATCTAGGAAGCTATTAAAACACATTTTAATTTACACTAGTAATATAATGTAAACATGTAACAATCATAATAAGATGTAAATTTGATTCAATATTCTGGGTCTTATCAAACTAGAGATAAAAAGAAATATAATTTACATTTAAACATTAACCCTGATATCAAAAAATGAATTTGTAGAATGATCATGCAAATCATTGGACTAGTTCACAAATTTCATATCTCCATAATAGCTGCTTACGGGAGACATAAAAAACTGGTTTTTGAGAGTATTGCATTTGTGGGAATGAATTTTTCTCTCTCTAAAATCAAACATGTAGAATTTGGAGAAATGAGGTTTGTGAACTAGGCTGATGAAATGTGTTTGTAATATTCATAAAGATAATTTTTGTATTGGCTGAGTAGAATTTTGATTCACAAATGTGTAAAATCATATGCAGTTTTCAATTTAAAGTGATATAACTATGTTTATTTAAATGTATATCCTATTAAATATTTACATACTAATTAGAAAGATTCACAAGATTGTATAAGTTGTATAATGGTATTTCTTTTTTTTTTAAGAAACCACTATGCATTGAATTATGCCAAGAATTGAAAGCAACTGTGACAGGAAAGAATACAGTAAAAGCTGCACCTGTAGAAGCTGAAGACGAAGAAAAAATAATATCATCAAAGCCATCTAGCAGTACATCGTCATCATCTACTGGAAAATCAACTACAACAAAAGAAGCATCCTCATCATCATCATCCAAATAAAACTTTTCCTACATAGCTAACAGATTTAAAATTCCACATCTGAATAACAGCTGTATAAACTTGAGTCCCAAGACACACCTTCAGACATTAAAGAATACTTTCTGACAATAAAAATAGTACATTCATTCTCTGTAGAGAATAGCAAACATATATTTAAAAAAATTTATGATTGATAGTGTTGTTGAAAGACTTAATTAACTATTTGTCCTTGGGTATAAAACAGAAATAACACTGTTACGTATTTTTCTAGTTTTTGTTATGCAGTATTTATGTATGCCACATAAGAAAATACAGAATTCAAATTTTATTTATGAAAAGTGAATAGGGTCAATGCATATAAGTTAATCATTTTATTGAAAATATATTAGCAACTTTTTTTAACAAACATTTATCAAAATCTTAATATTTATCTTTTCCATCTGTAGTTTTTTGACGTGAGAAAGGAATGACTCCCCCATCTCCGGCTAAAGAAGAATATCCCATTAAATCATGGTCAATTTCTCTAGCAGCTTGACGTCCTTCTGCTATAGCAGTGACAACTAATGACTGACCTCTACGACAGTCTGCAAGTTTAATTTTATTACTATTTTTCAAAACTTTCTTTAAATTATTATTATTATATGAATAAGAGTTACCTCCAGCAGCATAAACAGTTGGTACAGAAGTTCGATATTTACCATCTTCAGTACAGATATTTGCCCTAATATCCTGATCAAGACCTATTTCTTCCAATAAATATTTCTCAGGGCCCATAAAACCAAGTGCTAATAAAACTAAGTCGGCCTATATTGCATTAAAGTTTTCAGATTACAAATCGACATGTATTTCCAAGCAAAAAGCACAAAGCAATTGTATTTTGCATACTTACTTTAAATACACGAGTAGTTTTTGGAATTTCATTCATGAACCATCGACCTGTGGCATCTTTCTGCCATTTTATACTGACAGTTTTAATTCCAGCAACATGCCCCTGGCCATCATCTAAAAATTCCTAAATATTTTTGTTTAGTTAAACATAAATAGCATAACAGAAATAATTCTTAAATCTATAATATGCTATTTAAATAATGAACTTTAATCAAAATGTAAACTCAAAATAATACTAACAACTGCTAATTGCATTACAAATCTTTAATCATGAAATATGTGTACTAAAATTAAAATATTTAATGGGGCCAGAAATTTAAATTTTATTAAGTCAAAAAGTTTTTTTAAAAAAAGACAAGGAAAAACCCTCAATCCATTCCGACCTATAACACATTTAAACACCACCTATAACAAGAAAGGAATTATTTGTCCTCACTTTTATGAAAGTGAGGACAAATGAATGTTCTAATAAAACATTCAAATACTGTTTTGTAAAATTCAATTGCAATCAAACATTCATGTGTATTTTGTAATTTAATTAAATTAAGAGTAATATAAGTTTTTTTTTATGTAGGGTGCCTGAAAAGTTGGCACACATTGTAAAAAATTTTAGTTAAAGATTTATAGAAAAATATAGTTTTTCAAGAAACGTTTCATTAAATGGAATGTATATACAAGAATAGTCATTGCATATACATTCCATTCAATAGAAATCAGATATATGCATTTTTAAAAAGACACTCTAGTTCCATATTTTATTTCTTAACTTAATTTAAAATTATTGAAAACATTTGTTTGTCATATTAATCTAATTAAACCTTGTATATATACACAAAAAAAAAAAAAAAAAAAACTATTCCATTCATTCGAAAAAATTTGTTCAATTAATCGAACAAATTTTGTTTAAAATTTTGGAACATGAATGGGTTACACATAGGAAAGTTGAACATTGTCAAAAATGAAATGAAGTGGTTGAAGATAGATCTTCTAGGCATTAGTGAAGTTCACTGGACTTGCAATACAAAATTTGTTCGACTAATCGAACAAATTTTGTATTGCAGAGTAATTTCAGAAGGTTCAAGTTCGAAACCATTTAAATAACTTGTTACTATGTTAAGAGACCTGGAGAAAGACCTGGCAACCTATCCAGTATTTTGGCAAAATACCCTATGGATCAATTTGCAAATACAGTTTCAAATGTGGTACCGACTTGTGAAACCCTTGAGCCAGAAGATACCAATCGAACAACTGGAATAGAGCATTGATGATGCGATCAGGCTAAATCCTAAAGGAAACCTGACTGCTGACGTAGCTTGTAGTGAAAAGAAAACTTTGCATCGTACTAAAGTATTTAAAATTGGAACATGAATGGGTTACACATAGGAAAGTTGAACATTGTCAAAAATGAAATGAAGTGGTTGAAGATAGATCTTCTAGGCATTAGTGAAGTTCACTGGACTGGAAGCAGATTCTTTAATTCCGATGATTACATCATCTACTACTATGAAAATGACACCATCCAGAGGAGTAGGTTTCATTCTGAACAAAATCAGTCTCACCATAGAAAGCTTTTGAACAATTGATGACAGAATCATAGCAATTTGCATCAAAGGGAAACCTTGCACTTTTACAATCCTTTACATTTATGCACCCACTGCTGATTCAGAATAAGAAGTAACTAAGGCTTTCTACAATGAACTCAAACATATTGCATCAGACACCAAGAAAAGATGTTGTCTATGTCATTGGAGATTTCAATACAAAAGTAGATGAAATGGAAGAATCACGCATTGTAGGAATACTTGGTCTTGGAGAATGAAACGAGTCAGGTGAAAGACTGATTCAGTTCTGCCAAGACTGTGATGAATACATGGTTTGAACAGCCAAGGCAGTGATTGTATACCTGGACTTCTCCCAATGGAAAATATTGTAACCAGATTTCCACTTTTGCTAGCACAGGAAGTAGTCAGAGTTCTGTTTTGTCTGCAAAAATCTATCCTGGTGCCCATTATGGAATTGATCATGAACTGCTCGTTGCCAAAGTGAAACTAAGGTTTTGTAATTTTAAGTAACCATCAGCAATGCCAAAATTTGAAGAAAGAGAACCAGAAGAACTATGGAAAGATGTAGTACAGAATGAGTTGATGCACAAGAAGGCAAAATTGGCAAATAGATGTCAGAAACTATGATAGTAGTAGCAGAACAATGAAGAAATGCAAAGATTAAATGCAAAGTTCCAAAGGCAAATTCTGGGAAGAACAGTGCAAGAAAATGGAAGCAGCAGCTCAGAAAGACCTCATTAGACAATTCTTTGCTTATGTGAAGAAAGCCTAAACATTATTGCACGTAAAGCAGCTATCAATGGCCAAGATAATCATGAATTACATGATCAACACGCAATCAAAGAAAGATGGAAGGAATACACAGAACAACTTTGGGTATCAACTTCTGTTTCACTGGCATAAAGTATTGAAGAGGAAGAACTGACATTAGCTGGAGCCAGACATCTTAAAATAAGAGGTGGCATGGGCACTCAAACAGCTGGCTAGCCACAAGGCCTCAGGAGTCAATGGAATACAAGCAGTTACTGAAACCCTTACCATTAAAAGTTTTGACAGCACTGTGTCGTAGGGTGTGGAAGAATGGTCAATTGGAAAAGATCTATTTTTATCCCAATACCAAACATTGCTCCAACTTCACATGCTAGTAAGATTCTACTGAAAATCATTCAACCATAGACAGAGAGATGCCAGATGTACAGGCAGGTTTCCAAAAAGGAAGAGGAACATGTGATCATATTGCTAATTTTCGTTAGATGATGGAAACAGCAAGGGAATACCAAAAAGATTATATATGTGCTTCATTGATTACTCAAAGGCTTTCAATTGTATTGATCATGTCAAATTGTGGAAGTGCCTCAAGGAAATGGGAATCTCACCACATCTCATACGATCATTATATACTGGACAAGAAGCTACTGTAAGAATGCCATATGGTGATACAGACTGAATAGTGATGGTGAAAGGATACAGCCCTGGCGGGTACCCCTTCTGATCTTGAACCAATCTGTGTGCAGAGGTGGCGATGAGGAAAGCAGATTTGAATGAGTTTAACAGGAATGATTGGAGGCAGGAACATCAATAATCTCTGATATGCAGATGATACCATGCTGCTCATGGGAAGTCAGGAAGATCTTAAGCAGCTGCTTCTGAGAGTCAAGCATAAAAGTGCAAAGGTAGGGCTGCCTCTTAACTTCAAGACGACCAAAATAATGACTACTGCACAGATTACGGAAGTCAAAATAGAGATCAACAGTGAAGAAATCAAGGTAATGGAAGATTTCACATTCCTTGGATCCAAAATCAACTGTAATGGAGATTGCAGTCCTGAAATCAGAAGAATGCGTAGCCCTTAGACAAACCTTGGTGATCAGCTTTTTGAAGAGCAAAAACATCTGCCTCCAAATTAAATGCAGATTAGATTTCAAGTTTTACATCCATATATGACAATAGGAAATATAGATTATTTGGATTATCTTCCTTAGTTAGAACTAAAGAAAATGGACAGAAGGAAGATAGATGCTTTCGAACTGTGGTGTTGGAGACTGCTTTTGCACATTCCATGGACAGCATGGATCACCAACAAAACTGTCTTAGACAGAGTCCAACCGAAAATCTTACTGGAAGCCCAGAGAACCAGCTCCCTTGAGAAGGCAATCATGCTGGGGATGGTTAGTAGGAAAAGGGCACGAGGCCGACCAAGGACTCGGTGGCTCGACACAATCAAAAGTGACACTGAATTATCTATAACAGAATTGAAGGAGGCTGTGCAGGATAGAGAGGCATGGAAAGCTTTGATCCATAGAGTGACTGAGAGTTGGGCGCAACTAAATGGATAAGATGATGATGATTCCATTCATTATTGAATGGACAATTACATCTTTGTTTTCAAGTTATGATTGAAAACCAATGGATATATAAAAAAACTGTATTAAGAATTTAAAATAATATTCAATATCATAAACATCTAATAAACTAATACATTTAATTTTATAAATGATGATAAAATTACCTTGCTTAATATACTAAAATGTCTAGGATCTTCTCTGTATTTCATCTGAACTTCTTCTTGACCATATTCTAGTCTCATTATACGAGGCCATTGTGGCCAGACGTTAGTAAATGATCTTGAAGATGGAGGACATGATAATATTTCAAAAGATACTACACTTCTGGCACCCTAATTTTTAGAAACAAATTAACATTTTAGAATAATATACAGTATACTTTTGTTTAAATTATTTATTTATGGTAGAATCTATTTCAGATCCATCATGAATGCATTGAGCAAATGTCTTATTTTAAACTGATAAAGTAACTTCATTAGAGAAAATGGTAAAAAAGTGCAATAAAATTTCCATGTTTTTATTTATTAGCTCTTTCTCTCCTAAGGACAAACATAAAACTTGTACAGCAAGCAGAAGTACACATTTGACATTTTAAGTCCAAGCAAAAGATCTTGTGGCACTGGTTCACAACATCACCTGACTCAGTGACTCATGGGAAATTTGTTGAAAAAATGGTGGATGCATTTAACATCGAGGATTACCAGCAAAGGTAAATAAACAAATAACACTAAATAATTATTTTTAATTAATTAAACATCCTATAAATACTTTTAAACAGTTTAGTGTCATGTCTCCTACCGTACAACTGGACTACATCATACTTTTGTCGAAGGAAGTAGTTTATGTAAATTCAAAAGCACCTCGGAAAATTAATTTTTAGAAATTTACAAACATATTATGCTGTTGATGAACAAACCTACCTTAAGATAACCTATTATGAAGACACATATATGTAAATTCTATAGGCACTTCACATCACTTGCGAAAAGATTGAATAATGTCTGGATTAAAATAGTTGTTTCTTTACAATATTATTCGTAAATGCTTAAATAATCATTATTTTAACCACAAACACAAAAAAATGAATAAGTTTAAACCGATCGTCTACTCTCCATTCTAGACATAGCAAATACCATTATCAATCGTCTAGAATTGCCAGATGGTGGCACTTGTCCGTCCGCCATTCACATGCACCTCAACCTTTCTAATAACAATATGTCAGAACTGGAATGATGTGTTAGATATTCAGACATATTGATCTAGAACAACTCCAATGTTCATGACCAAAGAAATATACAAAAGAGTCAGCCTTTCTACAGAGGATAGACAAGGGCCACACAGATATAGTAAACCTACATTATAAACAAAACAAGAAATATCATACTTACACAATGTAATAACATTTGCAGACAAAAACAGTATACCATTAAACTAACAGAACATTGAGCTGGGTTTAATACAGTGCATTGTATTAAACCCAGCTCAAACCCATGACACCATTAGGCAGTCTTAGTCTTGGTCTTAGAAGGCACTCCACAGATGGTACCCAGCCAAGATCATGCTGCCAGAACTGCAAACTGTTGACAATATGTATGGCAATTATAAACCCTTCTAAGATTCAGGGACAGATCCAGGAATTTTACTTCAGGTACACTTCAAGCAAATATCAATATCCAAAATCAATTATTTTTAGTATCAAGACAAGAAAATAAAATTCCAGATAGCAAATCTTATACAAAGTTTAAAAATTCTAATTCAAATGTATGAAATAGAATAAAAATAGCACAAATTATACAAAATACAGTAGAATAATTATTTACAGTGTCATATCTGGCAACATTGTAGCTATTTCATTTTCATATTACAATTGGTTTGTTTGCAAACATATGCAATTATTTTATCAGAAAAATCATGTCACAGAAAAGCAAAGTAACTTCTTTTTTTGATGCATTTATTCAGACATCAGAAAATGGGTTGGGTTCTGGTTAAATCATAGCCTGGCCAAGTCGTCACTGATGATGCAGACTGCTGATAAATTGTGTGCAAGTTATACATCAGTGGGGTCAATAATTTAACTGCCATCAGTCAGCCTGTGTTCACACACCTTTAGACAATAAGACAACTGTCGCTAAGAATAGGTCACAATTATTTTAGTAGGGCAGGGATGGGCAGCCTGCATTGCACAAAATATTACAAAACAATATAATGTTATATAAAATACTGACATCTAGTCATCTGTAATTGTACTAAATACCAAGAGCCTGCTTCATATAAATATTCAATGTATGTCACCCTTAAAGATGCAAAAATAAACCAACCCAAGGACTATAGTAATTTAACCTGACTTCACTGGACACTTCATATAGAACTGTAAAGTTTTACGAACGCTTTGTATCATTGCATTTAATTTTTTGGTTTTTTTGCAAATCATATAATATTAATCTACTGTAGTTTATCTGAATTACAGAAAAAGGCATGCTAAATATTTGAAATTTTCAGAAATCGATATTTAAAATTCAAAATTCCACATTAATAATAAATGTTACTAACTTAGAAGTTTTAATTTCCGAAATTGAAATTAAAAATGATTGAACTAGAAAATTATTAATATTTTAAAAACAATTCGGACTTAGAACTGGACAATAATAAATACAAAAACCATATATGAGGTTTGCATAATAAAAGCTCGTTATAAGCTCGATGACAGACATATTTGATATATTACATTCACATCAATTCCAGTATACCTATGTTAATTTATGAATAAATATTTGTAATTTACCCACATTTTTTTTCTTTTATGTGTGTGCGGCCCATTCCTGCAGTAAGGGATTTGCAAGTTTCGGGGTGTCACCTACTGGGGAAATTGTAAGCCAGTTTGCAATGTGCTATGGGATTGAAACTGGTACTTGCAAATCTAGCTTTATAGTTGTACTATGGAAAATTCTTTTCCACCTATGCATCCCTAGATCCACCCCTGAAGACCATGTCTTAAATACAAAAAAATTACAGATAACACTATTTATAAGACACAACATTTACAGACAATACTTGTAAGAAATAACACTGTATTCTATAACTATTATTGTCACTGAAAATACAAAAACATAATATGTATCTTATACATTCTCCACAGATAAAACTTACTCATTGAAAAAAAGTATGTCAGTAGTCACTTTTTTCACAAGCATCTTAGCAAACACCATATTAATGTTTCTAAAATTTTGTGTAATGTATGTGCTACTGTGAAGCCCTAAACAGATTTCACATAATCAGGAAATTCTTAAACACAGATACATATATGAACAGTATGTAAATATAATAGTTTGTTTTGTAGTTACACCTAGACTCTGGTCTAGGCATAACTACATAGCATAGCATCAGGCACCAGTATGTAAACTGAGTAGGATATTCTCTGCCAACACCATAGTAATAAAATTGATGTGTGCAATTATTCTAAGCATTGTTGAAATAAACATACCTGACGTAAAGATGTAGCCATACAATCAACACCAGTATCTCCTCCTCCAATTACAATGACATCTTTACCTTTTGCATGGAGTAATAAATCTTCATCTTCCAGATATTGTTGTTTCTGTGACATTTCTAAATAACTCATTGCAAAGTGAATACCTTCTAAATGACGACCTAATAATAATTGATCTTATTTAACTATATTATTTAATTTTCAATGTATTCATAAAAGAAATGAATGTTAACTAAATATTTGTTATATATTTTGTCTACTAGGACTTAGCCTATTAATAGGACATATTACACTTATGTTTTGGCTTTTAGCAATTGAGGAAACAAACAATCTTTATTGATCACCTTGTATTATACATGTATACACTTTCAGACCTTCATGTTCCTCCTCAGCAGATTTACAAAAACACGGTTACTAAAATAAATTTATAAAAATTATATTATTTTTATAAATTTATTTTAGCACTATGTTTTTGTAAATCTGCTGAGGAGGAACATGAAGGTTCGAAACACAAAGAAAGTGTGTACAGTATACGTATAGTACAAGGTGATCAATAAAGATTGTTTCCATGAATATGATTTTTTCCTCAATTGCTAAAGCCAAAACTCAAGTGTAATACATCCTATTAATAGGCTAAGTATTAGTAGACAAAATATATAACAAATAGAGACATATAAATTAACTTAACTAAAATAGTTCTATATACAAAATAAAATTTTCTTTACAGATTATATCAAATATGATCATTCTACATATTTTTAGTTAAATATCATTTTTTTAATTTCATTCATTCATTAATTGCAGTTTTTGAATAAATTTTAATTCTTCAGTCCTATTATTTCATGTCTTTCATAATAGTATATAATTATATTATGTTGAATGAAATATTTAACAGGGAATAATAAAAATTTTATTTCTGTTTTTTCATTCTAAAATTCAAAATTTCAGTCTAGTAATCAGGTTGTATTTTAATTACGTATTCTGAACCAATTATGGTGTGTAGATGACAAAAACAAACAAAAACGAATGTTTTCATCATCTACACACCACAATTGGTTCAGATACATGATTAACTATATCCCCATGTGGTGAATGATTGTTTAGGTTGTACTTTTTGTTACTAATTAATAGTTAAAATCTATTCTCATAAGAGATATCACCAACACAATGAAGAAACTTGATTATTTGTTTTCTGAATGTTAGCTCATTTCCTTCCTTGTCTCTAAAAAAAAGAGTTGCATGAAACATAGCAGATAATCTCTTCAAAGCTATTTCAAAATTTGAAGAGATCAGATACTTTCCCCATAATTATATTAATGAATAAATGAGGAATACATAACTACTAATTTGATTTTATACATAAAAATGTTTAGTAGACTATCAATTTATATCTGTTCTACCTTTGATTTAAACTGTGTTCTCAACTTGTGTTGAGAACACAGTTTTTGTGTTCTCAACAAAATGATAGACAATGGAAAAATTTTTCCATTGTCTATCATTTTAGAGAAGTTAGACATTAATTTTTGAGCTGATAAAAAAAATCCTGTTATCTTTTTAATAAAAATTTGAGACCTGAATTTCTACTGCAACAAAATACATTAAAAATCTGATGTATTTAGTATTGATTTCAACAAAAATGGATGAATTATTTCTTACTCATTAAGTAACTGCATTACCTGGTATAGGTAAATCACGTGGCCATGTAGATCCAATTGTAAGAAGTATTGCATCTTTTTCATATAATAAATTAGATATTTTAATGTCTTTTCCCACATCAACTTCTGTATGAAATATTACACCTTCATTAGCCATTAAATCAATTCTTCTTTGTACAACCTGAAATTTAAGAATTATCATAATTCTTTATTAATGATTGAGATAATTTTAGAATATTATGAACAGACAATTAATTTTCTATATCTACTAAAGAGAATAAAGTAAGTAAATTAACAACACTTCAATATTATAATGAAAAATTTTCAGCATTATTCAAGCTAACAATCAAAAAAAAAATTAAAACCTTAGACATAAGATTATAATGTGTTATGTATCATTAAGGTTTGAAAATGGTTACAATAAACAATGATGAGCATGTTTCTCTTAGGTGTCAGGGAAACTTTTCTTAAGTTTTTTGATGTGGTATTAGATAAAATAATTGGCTAGTATGCTAACATTTTATTTTTAATGCAGTTATTCATTCACCAAGAAATTTTAGGAAGTATTGGTAGCCGGTTTCACTCAGTAGTTCTATACCACACATGTATAACTTAGATTAGTCCATTTTTATGTAATTCGGTGCTTTTAAAATATCCAACAAAGCAGCAAATTTTACTTAGTAGATTTATAAATTATAATTTTGCCATGGATGGGTAGTATTAATAAGAGTATTAAATCAATGATCAGTACACACAGGTGTATCTTCACAACTCTATTGTACTAATGAAGTATTTTGCAAAAAGAAATAAAAGGTTCTTATTTACTCTTCTGCTTAAAGATAAATGTAAACTATATAGAAATTATAACACCGTAATTGATAAATTACCTAACTTCACTGCCTGTAACCAGTGTTCTTCTCCAATACGAAGGACTTTGCAAACGTTTTCGAACCTAATGTGGTTCTTCTTCAGGCGCTACGGAATTCTCTATATGAATTCGAATTTCCAGTTTAGAATTAACCTTTATTTTGGAAAATCTTTCTGGAATGTTGTCACGTGTTACCGATGGCGTCATTGTAGACTTGCGCATTATCCGTATGTTGTTACTTTAGAGATTTATTGAGGAAGGCTTCCCATGCTGTTGATATCTTCATTTCTTGTTTGAAGTTAATGCAGTGCTTATTCCTGAGGGTGTTAAGGCAAATGTATAAGGCCTCTAGCCATCTGAGGTGTTGTGTGCTGAACGTGGTGTGAATAATTCTGGCTAGAGGGAATAGCGGCTCTATTTCTGGGTCGGATGAGTATACCGCTAAGGCGGTGTTGTTTCTATGATGTAGGATGTCCGCTTTGTGTTCCTTGATTCTAGTTATTAAGTTGCGTTTAGTGGACCCGATGTAAATTACTTCGCTGTTGTCTCTATGATCTGTGATGGGCACAGAGTATACTCCCGGAAGTCTGTTGCTGTCTAGAGAGTCTTTTCCATTTCTAAGCCAGTCGAATATTGTGGCGCACCTCCTAAATGCCAAGCGGACATTCTTTTTCTTGGCTATCTGGTTGTATATGGCCTTAAGTGCCGGGTTGTACGTGATTGGTATGTACTTAACCAGGGAATCATTGGAATGAGAGGTGTTGTTGGATTGTTTGAATACATTGTAACATTGTTACATTTGAGTACATAAATGTAAAATCAATTCTTATAGTTTTGGTAATTTTAATCCATATCTTCATTCTAATCTTAATTCACTCAATATTTGCTTAACAGATACTAAATATCTAACAACATTCCATGTTCACTTTATTTATGTATGGAGCAATAATTGACCCCAGTAACGTAACTTCTACTTTTGTGGAAGTGTGACCAGGTGTGACCTTGTTAATCTGTTAATGACATTTGGAAAATAATTGGTGACAGCTACTATATACATTATTCTATTAAATTCTTGTTTCATATGTAGTCCAGGAAGAATGAGTGATGGTTCTGTTAATCAGAGAATGAAAAGCAGCTAATTTATATGCCAGTGTATATGAGAAACTACAACTCTATGCTTATAAAAAAACATTTTGATGCAATTTGATGATAACTATCCAGATATAACAAACATAAACCAAATTAGCTAGTCCACTGTTAAACTTGATACCAGGAAAGTTGTTGATATCTTTTAAAAGTCATTCATCTATTGCTTATCCTTTCATATAAAAGTAGCTTGGAGATATGTGGTCGATTTAATTTTTATATTATCCCTATTTTTTACCCATTTAACTAATATTTCAGCTGGGTTTCCTGAAATTGAGGAGCCCATTGAAACACTTCATTTGTCTATAAAAACAGGTGAATTATCTCTTAGCAATAATATAGGGCTATAACTTGAACTATAATAAAAAGTCAGTTTTTGCATAATTTTTTGCTGTACTATTGAAAATGGTTATCCAAATTACAGCAGGTGACTTTGATCAAATAAATTATACAAAATATCATTAAAGCAAATTTAAATACTACTATTGGGTAATTCTTTAAACATTATTATTATAGTATTTTTCCAAAAATAATGATAAAAACAAAATTTAAAAGTATTTATTCTTCAGTTAATTATTTTAACTTAATAACAACATTATTTCATGAACTGATTATTTATTTTTGTGTGTAATTAAAAATAAAATAATGATGCTTTTCATAATTTCATATATGTTTTTACCTTTTTGCTTAACTTCATTGATGGGATTCCATATCGTAATAAACCACCTATTTTATCATTTCGTTCATAAACAGTTACTGTATGCCCAGCCTGATTTACATGAAAAAATCATTTTTAAATAATAATAAATTAATAATAAATATATATATATATAATTAATTTAAAAAATACTGATTTACCTTATTCAACTGAGCAGCTGCAGCTAATCCTGCAGGTCCACTTCCAACAACTGCTATTTTTTTACCTGTCCGGAATTTCGGTGTATTTGGTTTCATCCATCCCTGTTCAAAGGCATGATCAATAATCGCACATTCTATGTTCTTAATTGTGACAGCAGGCTCATTAATACCCAAACAACATGCAGCCTATCAAAAATAAAACATATAAATAAACATATTTTTTCTTTCAGAAATTAAATAATGTATTATATGCATGAAAATATAAATAAACTAAAAATCAGATATAATCAAATTTTAATATTGTTAATTAAATCTTTTTTGTCAAATACTAAAATTGTTCTATTTATTTGGAATGATAATTATTATGACACTATAAACTAGACTGTCAAGGAATACTTCATATTTCCTATTCTTTTCAAATTCAAAAAATTTCATCTAGGAAATTTCATAGTTTATTTAAGTAAGATGGTGGGGGACCCACATCTAGCATCAACCTTCTAGAAAACGGACTAGAAGATGAGATGATGGAAAGAAAGAACAGGAGATTCTTTTCTAGCCTCAAGACAGATTAAAGGTGCATTTTGGTATAGTCTCCAGAATAAAGGCAAGGGAAAAAATTCTCACTATGTTCTTTTTCACTATTAGAATTGGATTATTTTGTTTAAACTGTTTCAAAAATCTTCAGCATTCCAGATAACTTTATTAACCTTTGCTGTATAAAAATGTACTCCTAGAAGCTATAACCGGTGTGTCGTAAAAAAAACAAAAGAAAAAAGTTCACCACAAATGTTTTTGAACCGCTGAGAGTTCTTCTTCAGGTGTAAAACAGAATTTCTGATGGATCAGAGCAAATGGTTTAGAAAATTTGAGAAACATTCAAAAGGTGTTATATGAGGCACATGTGTGTTCATATGGTTGACATAATATGACACTTAAAGTTCGGAGTCCATCAACACCTGCCAGGCCAGCGACAGAACCAACTCATCTTTAAAATTGATGCAGTTGTCATTGAGGGTCGATTTATAGATGTGAATGGCCTCTAGCCACTTAAGGTGTTCTGTGTGTGACGTAGTGCAGATGAGCTTTGCCTGGTAAAAGGCCGCCACAATGTCCAGATCAACAGCATATGTGCAGAGGGCTGTGGTATTTCTCTTATTATGTATGTCCACTATATGCTCTTGTACTCTGACCTCCAAGGAGTGTTTGGTGGATCCAATGTAAACGAGGTCCTTATCAAATCTGTTGTCCTTAATGGGAATACTTTACATGCCAGGGAGTCTGTTCTGGTTGGGGAGTCTTTTCCATTGCATAGGATGTCAAAGATGGTAGGACATCTCCTGTATGCAATCTGAATACATTGTTTCTTGGTGATCTCGGTACAAAGCATTTTTAGGTACAGATTGAATGTGATAGGGACCCATTGTACCACGTGGGGCAGTTGTCAGCCAGCAGGTCAGTCATGACAGTGCATTGCGAGTGTGCACGGTGATAGCGTTCAATCAATTTATGCATAAGCCTCAGGAACCTGTGGGATGATGCAACATGGTGAATATGTAAAAGCTCAGTGGCAAGTGCTTGTGTGGTAGATGAATGAGAAAACACCCTCTTAATTAAAGCATTGTATGCTGCGATCTTATAGGGAAAAGCGTCACATGAGCCCACAGGAATGTATGTGGAGGTAGAACCTAGTTTGCGGTATACAGATGTGTGGACACCCATCTCATCCACTCTGATATTTATGTCCAAGAAGTGGACCTCTTTTCATCTGACTTGTTCAAATTCTATGGTTAAGCCATAAGGGTTGTCATTAAGTGTCGACAAAGACTGTCATATCCGGAACAGTCCTCCAGAGAACCAAAATATCGTCTATGTATTGCATGTAAAAAAGGATGTCAGGGAGGATTTGTGGAAGGACTTTGTTCTTCATCTGTCTAATAACCATTTCGCAAAGGTCCCCTGAAATCAGGCTCCCCATGGGGACTCCCCTTCCCTGCGTATAGAGTGAGCCATTAAACTGGAAAAGGAAACTGTAGCAAATCAAGTGGGATATCTCCAGTACGTGTTGGTGTTATCATCAACTATATGGAAAAGGAGATCCCTGAGTGCAATATACAGCTTTACTGTATATTGCATAATCCAAGCAGATAAACAAATCAATATTGGAGTAGAGTCCTGTACAATGCAAGGATATATTTCATGTTATTGAGACAATTTTATGCAAGTTTAAACCTAGAAGTTGAAGAAAATGTATATCTCTGGAAGACAGAATTTTGTATGAGTACTATTTGTAGTTTTTTCATTATGTTAAAGGAAGAAGTTCACTGTATACTACTTGTTATAACTTATATTGATAAAATAACATTAAGTTTAAAATTTTGCTTAAATGCTACTTGAAATTTAAAAGCTTAAAACAAGAAAAATTGGACTTATAAGACATTACACATGAGCAATGTTATGCAATTTCATCATGCGATCATTTTTATAAAGTAAAACAACTTTTTTAATACCACTTTCAGAAATAATGAGTTGTTAAAAACATAACTAATTGAAATCCAAAATTAATTTGGTATTAAAATATATTTTGAAATGCTAAATGTAAAAATTTAATTTTACATTTTAAAATTACAACTTATTATTTATTATTCATTTTAAACTATTAATTATTCCTTAAACTTTTTATAACAAAATTTTAATTATTTATTATCTAAGAAAAGAGATAACTTAGGAAATATTAATGTGATATTTTAATATTTTGTATCCTAAAAATTATAACTTTTACTTTTATTCTATTGTTTATTTTGTTTCTGAAAAAGTTCCTTAAAATATTCATGTGGACAAGAAGCAATAAACTCACATGGTATTAATGGTATATATTTAGCCAATGCATTAATCTAGTAGTAGTAATGATATTTCATTGAAATTTCTTAATCAAAATTTAAATTGTTATTTCAAATAAATTTTCTTTCCAAAAACAATATGTTTTATGAACAATTGAGACATTTACAACAATTTGTTACTTGCAACATTAGAAATTCAAAGCTTTCTGATTATCACAATGATAAAATCATACAATATTAGAATTGCATACTTACTTCACAAGGGGCTGGACACACTCTTCCTGTAAATTCTGGAAAATTGTTTGTTTGTAATAACTGCAATAAAGCTTCATGCCAATCATCCTGATAAAAGATATTTTATTGTTTCATTCACATTTCTAAATTTATAATTAAAAATAATCTTATATAATACCACATATAATTATTATACTGTAAGATTATTATAGTGAAAAGATAATATTCTATTATGTTTTATATTTTGAAATGATTACAAATCCTTAAACATTGACTTACTTGAAATACTAGATCATTCCATTTTGGAATAATATTTCCAAGAGGACATCCATATGATGATTGACAAAATGGAACACCACACTCCATACACCTTGATAAATTAATTATTACAGTACTTATTTCTTTTAAAAAACTATTTATCGTTAAATCAATTTATCTAAAATTAAAGTTGCCATTAAAAACTAATTTGTATTAATTAATTATATCATTAAATTACAAAATAATTTTCAGAGAATAAAAAATATAAATAGTAAAGCCTCAATAATTGCACATTCAGAAAACAATAATTTGCAAAAACAAAAATTTTAAAGGTAAGAAAAAGGAGAACAAAAGCATAAGTTTCCAATCCAATACATCTTATTCTACTGCAATTTTTACTCTTTACTTAAGTAATCAAAAATCAACTTTTATTTCACCACAGTATCAGATTCCTTATGTGTAAACACTTTTATATCTGCAACTGTATCCTGAAAATATTATTTGTACTGTAAACATGTAAGTCTAGTAATGTTTTTAACATATAGTCAGGCATCCAACAAGAGGCTCTATCATCAGCTTGCATTACTGTCACCACCATGGGCATCTGCAGAAAATTTTCCAGGAAAGAAAACCTTGGAATCATCAAAAAATGTTTTTTTAGAGTTTCTTTTTACAAGTAGATTATAAAATAAGTATTGCATCAATGCAAAAAGAAAGAGTCCCATGGTCAAAATCATAGCATTACATAACTCAATCACTTTTTAAATTATAATTTTGAGATTTTTTTTATTTGATCTCGGGAAAACAAGTGCCCTGTTTGCCCCCTCCCATCATCATCACTGTCAGATGTGTTTTCAGCTTAATGCAAAGATTTGTATTTGCTTTAAAATAATTGAATATTTCAACTGATGAGCGTTACAGAAAGAAAAAACAAAAAATGAGCAATAATAATTAGGTAATATGCTATGGCTGTTGGCCATATTATTGTATTTAATAATTCTATAAATGTAGATTAGGTTTAAGGTTTTCTTTGTTTCTATCCCGTTCCTGTTGACCAAGAAAAAAAAACTTAATTTCTTAAATACTTTACTGTCTGGCGGGGAGTGATGTCAAAAACAACGTTGTAAAATGAAAAGAGGAGGAGAAAAACAAAGTAATAAAAAGAAAACGAGAAGGGATCGGGGCTCTCGACAGAGAAGGTTGAGGGGATCAAGCTCTGAATTGGAACAGAGAAGAAAAGTGAAACTCGACGAGGGAGGTTGAGGAGAAGAAGCTATCCAGTCTGTTAAAGAAGGTTAAGAACTTCCTGCTCGACACCAACAATATTGAAGAAAGTGGATTATCGAGGAGGAGAACGGGAGAGATCCATTAAAGAAGGAGAAGAAAGAACCAAGAAAAGCCTCCACGATAAGAGTAGATGATCAGAGACGACAGTAACCCGCCCAGTATCACAGAGCATCCAGAGTAAAAACCCAGGTATTTCCATCTTCCTCTTATTCTATCCTTATATTCTCCCTCTCTTTCCTTCTTATAGTTTGTAAGTAGATTAAGTATAGATATAGGGACTTACATAAAATAATTTGATTTTTTTTTATATCTCGGATTTTGTATCCTCACTGCCTACATGTTGGGATCCAATGTACAAAGAACCTGATAACATATAGCGAATTAAAGAATAGTTTGTAAATTAACAAGTGTTTGTTAATCATTGATTTATTTAAAAAATATACAATGGCACATTGCATTGTGATAACCGTCAGTGAATTGAAGCATTATTATATTCGTTTTTTCACGAATAAAACAAAGGTTTTGTCCTGCAAGTCTAGTGTGGATTTCAGTAAGTTTGCAATGCAACTAAATAACAGAAGAAGTTAAATAGTAAAACAGCATGGTTCCAAGATAAGAATTTATTACTTCCAGAACTCAAAATAGATCTATTTTAAACTTAGGCTTAACCCTTAACTGGTTTCTTGGGGGCCGCGCGGCCCCCACGCGTCATATTTTTACGATTTTCTAAAAATCTAAATATCGTGCGCAGCTGCCATTTCATGTAATCTCATTATGTCGCGACTCTTAGCAAGTGCCAAATGTTGGGCCGCGCAGTTCCCACGATACCAGTTATGTTGGTTTTTTTGTGGAAATGTGTTTTTATGTTTTTTTTTTTTATTTTTAAAATTATTTTGCAAAGATATCTCAATCTTGCATAAAAAAATCAAAATGACTACCAAAGAATCATTTGAACTGCTAATAGATGATAATATTATACAAATTGCTAGATCAAGCTGAAATCTCCTGAAAAGAGTATTTTGTCATTTTGTGCTGGAAAAAAAAGATGGTAAATATGCTACTAAGTGCAACAGTTGTTTGAAATTTATTTGCAAAGTGCATAGTACTACAAAAATACTGTGTGATAACTCTCAAGACTGAACTACGTAATTGCATTAAAATGTTCCTGAGTCTTAAAAATAGAAGTGATTATATTACCTGTGGTTTTTTAACAAATGATAGTTAGAGGCTATAAGAGATACTTTTTTATAAGATTAGTTTCTTAAGAATAAGAAAA